CAGTCCTCCCCCCCCAACCCGCATTGACCAGCATAGTAAAGTGTGATCGCACAACCCCCATAAACAATATCCTACAGTGGATTATAAATAGTTCTGCAACTCTCCCCACCTTTTACTCCCTCCCCTATGTAAGGCTCAGTGGGAGTCGGGACGATTCTCGGATTCGTGAGCTGCGTGATGAGCTGTAACTTGCTCGCGTTTTGTTAAGATGAAAATAAAAAAAGACGTTTCTCACTTTAAAGCTTTCGTGACTGCAAGGATTCATCTTCTTTGGTTCTTTCGGTAAAGTCACGTAGAATGAGAATAAAATAATAAATAGACAGTCTCGTCCCCTTCACCTGATGAAGGCCGCTTGTGTTGTGGCCGAAAAGTCGTGAGAATATTATTGTGTTATTTTATTTTATCAATTTAGCATTTTATTCTCATTCTACGTGACTTTACCGAAAGAACCAAAGAAGACGTTTCTCACTATTCATGTATCATTTGTGAATTCACCACTTTGGTGCGATGCCTTCTGGTTTACCTTCGTGTCCTGTTGTGGGCCTCTTTTGCTACTTGGTCCCGACCGAAAGGTCACAACTCGCTCCTTGTGGGTCAGTGTATGGGGTGGGTGTCATGGCATAGGTCGGTGTTCTTCACGAATTTCCAGACGGGGTGGCGGGGGGGGGGCACTTTCGCTGATAAGACATCATCAGTGTGAGTGCCGCCACACATTTGAAACCATTGGGGTTTGACAGCACGATAGTGGGGGTGTTTTCACGTGTTACAATTGTCGGAGGCCGCACATCAGGGGCCGCACTAAAGGCCACCAGGGGCCTCCAGTGGTCCGCGGGCCTTGCAATGAAGAACACGTGCCATAGGTGCTCGCTAACAGCACTTTTGGTGTGCGCACGTGTTAAACTCCTGGCCTCGCCACCCACCCCACAGTCCAGTCGACCCATTCCTGAAGCTACATCGAGGGTGGGGGGGGGGATAAGCTGGTTATGCGGGGAGGAAGAACCATTCAGTGTTTTAAAAGCACGCAGGCTACCGGGCGTCGTGCAAAGATTAGCTCACTTTTCCGTGGAAGTGTGCCAAGCCTCCTGCACCACCATGTGTGACTTATTATGATTGGAACGAAGCTCTGGGATAAGACGGGCCAGATTAGCGGGTCACCGTAAAGCACGCCGTACAAGGCAAACATGTGTAGTGTTTTGATTTAAAGCTTTCGTGACTGCAGGGATTCATATTCTTGGTTCTTTCGGCAAAGTCATGTAGAAGGGAAACAATAAAATAATAAAATATAAAACAATAAAATTCTCACGACGTTTCGACTGCAACACAAGCAATCATCATCAGGTGTGAAAACCACGGCAAGAAAATTTGAAAAAAGTGGCGGGTTTTTTTAACGTTAAAAAAACCCGCCACTTTTTTTTAAAATCAGAGGTGAGGCAGCGACGAGCTCAGCCTCTCCTCTCATTGCGCAACCCCTCAGTAACTGGATGGAGCGCGGGCAATAAGCGCGTGCCTGTTACTATCTCAGTATGTCACCAATGCAATGTTTGTAGACCCCTTCATTTCATGTCCTCGCCTTCCATACTCCAGGTAACTTATTTCACGTATGTGTATAAAGATATTTAGACTCGCTGGTCTCGTCATGAAACTGCAATGAAAAAGCACCAGGGGAGGCAGCTATCACATCTGCCTCACTTAGGGGGACGTATCTAACACGCCTCCCTCAGTGAGGACACGCCCCTCTCAGTGAGGCCACGCCTCCCTCAGTGTGTGAATCTGGCTCTAACACTAGCCATTGACCTCACCGCACGTCACTGCAGTAAATACGAGTGTGATGTGTTTGGCTGTATTACAAAAAGGACACGTATTAGTAATCATATTCTTTGGGTCTTTCAGTAAAGTCACGTAGATAGGTTGAAAGAAAATAACAAAAATCTACGACGTTGCGATCACAACACAAGCGATCGTCATCAGGATCGCTTGTGTTGTGATCTTTCACCTATCTATGTTACTTGACCGAAATACCCAAAGAATATGAATTCCTGCAGTCACGAAAGCTTTAAGTAAAGACACGTATTAGATTACAGTGTAATTATAATTATTGTATCACCGTGATAGTATGCAATTAATTCCTGGCATTATTGGCCCCAGTTTATTTTGTTTAAAATACAGTACAGCAAGTTTACATATACATACATGCATTTGTGTTTTCGAGCTATAGCACTTGACAAATATGATAAAGATTACTAATGACAACCCTTGCAAGGTATCACTGTAATACAAATATTTTGCATGTTCAATCTTTAAGACTTTAAAACCTCTGCTATCAGAGAACACCTACTCAGGCTAGCAGATAATATTACGGTGTGGTGTGGCCAACAATGATATACAGTGCGGGTTTATACTGGTAGGAACGAAGTTGTAAACTGAGTGTACCAGCCTGCAATAGATTAATGTGTCCGTCCCTCCGTCCCCTTTCAATACTTTAACGAAGTGAAATCTCGTGCTGTTGGGGTGTAAAAATAAAATTGCGCAAAATTCCAATGTTCCTACCAGCCCACCCTGCAGGGACCTGTTATAGTATCTAAAATGCATGCACGTGTATGGATGTACGTTGAACTTTTTTCGCACCATACAAAGCCAACCGTGCTCATCGGAGGTGCGGGGGTAAGCACATCAAACTACGCACAAAAAGCACACGTCAGAACGCTGTATAGAAACACGAAGCATATTTATTTCAGAGGCAACCAGTCACAAGGCAGAGGTAACAAAAAAAAGTGAAGGTCTTTAACTTGGACTTGAACAGAGGGGCAAAAAGGGGTCGACAGAACGGGTGGCTGTGGAAGTGAGTTCAAGACCGTGGGAACATCGGAGGAGAACCTGTTACGTTGAGAGAATTTTGACCAGGGGGGGCTTTTACAGACAAAAAGACCACGCATAGGTCCATATTTGACGTCCTTCGTGCTGAGATGACTCACACCTAAAATACATTTTGCAAAGAGCCAGCCTCCGAATCTGCACAGGTGATCTCGGCGTTACTAATTCACCATAATTCCGCAGTGACAATTTCTCATGCATTTAATTTTATTCGAACAAATGGAATTATTACTGAGACACTTCGGGACAGATACAATAACATTTAGTTTCAGGGAACAATTATGAGAACATCTAAAGTCCACTGACACAATAGCGGAAATCGTTGTGAGACACGGGAACACATTTAATATACAGTGAATAACACAGGTGCCGAAATATTATAACTTCAAGGGAATGGTTGTGGAGAATTCGTGTGCCAATGTCGTCCGCTTATTTAATTACCGAATGCGGTAAGCGTCGAATTAAAGATCAGTGGAAAATGTCCCTTTAATCATGATTTGAAGCTTTTGTATACTCTGGCAGGAATCCAAACTCTTTGTTTTCTTTCGGTAAAGTCACGTAGGTAGGAACAATAATAATAGACCACGACGTTTCGATCGCAACACTGGAATTGGCGAACATTGCCCTCCCCACCCCCAACCCGTGCTGATGTCTAAGTGGGATTTGCTGCGCCGTGTTCCACCTGATGACGATTGCTTGCGTTGCGATCGAAACGTCGTTATCTATTATTTCCCTTTAAGTGGCACCGATTTCAATAAGCAAGCCGGGGGGGGGGGGGAGGAGAGAATGTAGCGCCCAAGTTTGTTGTGTCGTGTTGTTGTTGTTCGGCAGAATCAACAGCAGGTTCCATCCACTGCTGGATGCCCGTCACATCACTGCGTGCCCATTTCGCGTGGAAACGTTACGCGGCATTCACAGATTGCTTACGGAGAGCGAGAGAGATAGGGAACAAAAAGCACGACTGCGTAATTTTTGTTTGTTTTCCTCGTCAAACAGAAGACGTGGAAAAACAACATAAACGTCTTCTTTCGGTCGACATCGCTTGCGTTGCGATCGAAACGTCGTAGATTTTTCTTTGTTATTTTCTTTGAACCTACCTACGTGACGTAAACCGAAAGACCCAAAGAATATTAATTCCTGCAGGCACGAAAGCTTAAAGTCAAGAAAAAATAAACACTTAAACCACCCACCCCACCCCCGCCGCCTGACAATAACAACCATTTAAGACAACAATAGTGACACACAGCGGCGCAGCAAATCCCACTGCACATCAGCACGGGGGGCGACGTTCGCCAAATGCAATTGGTGGAGCCCTCGGAACCCGCGGGACGAGAACGCCTTCCATTGGCTCTCGGGTGAAGCGACGGCCAATCAGACGCCGGGGTGGGCGTGAACCGGCGTATCCGCGCTAAGGAATTAAAATCGTCGTGGCCGCGGCTCCCCCTCCGCCGCCGCCGCCGCCCCGCCCTTCAGCTGACGCCGCTGATGAGGGGGAGAGAAGCCGAACGTCGTCCACGGCCATGGCTCGCCTGCCGACGCTGCTCGCCCTCGCCGCCACCCTCCTCCTCTTCTACCCTGCGGCGCTTGGTGAGCAAATTCTCGCGACCGACGAGGTGGTGGTGGTGCAGGGATTAAACCCCAAAAAAACCCACAGTCGTCGTCATAAAGTTTGACGATCTTCTCTAGCCCCGGACCGGCGGCGGCGTTGGCGGCGGCGGCTGCTGCGGGCGGGCGGGGGGAAAACAACTCGGGCGAGCCGCGGGCCGCCTTTTGCAACGCGTAGCGCGGACAGGCAGAGGAATGTCCGCGCGGCCAATCGGCGAGCCGGTCGAGCGTCACGTTGTGCGGGCGTTGGCCAATGGTGCGCGGCCCCGGTGGGCGCGATCGCCTATGCGGACTACGATTTCGAGAGGCGGCGCCCGGACACGTACGGGGAGGGGGGGGGCCTAAAATGGCGACCGTTGTTATTTTTTTATAGTTTTTTTTGTTATTCAGAAGTGGTGAAGAGAACGTAGGCTGCTGCCTTCGTGGATCACCGCACTCGTGTGTTTTCGGTGGCCTTGCGAACCGACTAAGCAAGCGTCGCTGATGGGGGGGGGGGGTGTTGGCTTGCGTGAGTTTATTTGCCGTCTTAATGGATGCACAACCCCGCCGTGTGCGCTTCGAAGAGTCCCGCGTTCCCCTCACAAGGCCTCGATTGTCTCACGCCAGTGATTTTTTTTATATATACTGTGCCCACCGTAGTAGTTTCGTCCGTGTTTGTTGTCCGGCCAGAGTCGAACGTCGTTAACTCTCATTAAAAGTTATTTCGTTGCTTGGCGTAGCGTAGGTTTTGTTGTTGTTGTTGCAGGCGTGCGCGTATCGTCAACTGTCGGCGATCCGCGGGCGTTGTTGCGTGCTCGATGAATGTGCGAGGCCAACCCCCACGGGTTCGATTGTTAAACGGTAATGAACAAATAGTAAAAGCAAAAAAAATGGTATTCGGAGTTTGCTTAAATTAGAATTAAATTTATCTTTTGCACGGTGTGATTGTGTGATTTGTTCAGATTCAGAAAAGTACGTGCATGAGTATGCAGCAGAGCAAGTAGGTTGCTTCTAACCTTTTATACTCCGTGGTCGAAAGGCCTTTTAATAATGAGCGTTTTTTGCCATTTGAAGGATGTCACTGTTATATAGCGATGGTTTCTCAAGGAACGCCTCGTTGAGTTTCAAAACTCATGCGGGTGGTGTTCTGCGACACTTACATTTGGCCAATTTATATTTAAAGTTTTTTTTTAGTGTGGGAACAAACCCACGAAAACGAGGAAAACAATATATCGCACGACTGTTCCGTATTTGAGGCGATTGAGATTTGCGTAGGAAGAGTATTTAAATTGTATGACAACAGGTCAGAGCCCATTAAACAAGACTGCGTAAACCTATTTAAGTGCAACATTTGCCTGGGCTTCCGATGTAAACTAGTTGCCAGGTAAGTGACATGTTTCCTTCATGTGTTTTATACAATTGGACACCGAGGTGTTTAAAGACAGTCCAATAATCGATTTCTTAAAAATGCGCTTTAGCAATTTTAACTAAGTAAACACTTTCGAACCACGCAATGCTTTGTCTTGTGCAGACTCCAGAAACAATGACACGTGTAAACCATTAGAGACGAGATATTAAGTACGCCTTCTATCATTACACCATATATAATGAGATAATGCAGCTAAATCACAAATGCAATATTGAATTTAAAACCTCAAGGTTATAATTGATCAAATGTTAGTATTTTCCATCCGTGTAACAGTTATGGGAATCTGCTAATTGAAAAAAAAACTCCAGTGTTTTGACAATACAGTGTGTGATAGGGTCTGTATTATGAATGCTACAGGCTCCATTTCCCTAGAGGTATGTGTGCGATATATACCTTAATTGCTTAATGTTTTAACTGGCATTTTAAAGGGATTAAGCTTGCAGAATTACTTCTGCCCAATATTGTCTTGCAAGAGTGTTGGTGCCAGCGCCGAGATTGTGTTTGTTCCTAGCAAACTAAAGTGGTGAGGTATTTACTTTTTTTCTTTTGTTAATTTGACAAATATTTGGTTTTGGCAACGTTAGCTGCGCAAAACGACTGTCGCAAGCTTTAATAGCCTATTACCCCTGTGGTCACGTTTTAGCAGGGGGGGAGTCACGTTAACATTAAACCACCCTGGTGACCGAATCTGACGTGTTCGGCTTCGTTCAAGCACAATTGCTGTGCAAATATTTGTCATTACATTATCACCTGTGAAGTGTGAGAAAGAGAGATTTAGCATTGGACGACAAAAAAACATTGACTTATCATTTCTTTGAAGAACCCGTATAAGCTCACATTTCACCATTAGAGTTATTAAGATTAAGGTATTCATTACAAACCACCCCCTGCTAATTAATGAAGCTCATTAAGAAAGTAGTCGCTCAGAAGGGTTATTGGATTGAAATGATAGTTTCGGATGAGGATTGGAGATGACGGGTTTGACTCGATGGTTAATAATACTTTGTGTTTGTCTGGGCTGAGGTTCACCACGTGAAGCACAGAATTAGCCTTCTCCAAATTTACCCGTGTGCTTTTGTTGCGCGTACGTGAGCATATTTAAATTATTTCTTCTACTATTTAACATTAACCTTTAGAGAAACTCTTGATGCATTGTGTGCAAAATCTAGCCAGTTTCATTGCTACACGTGTGGACTGCAAATGCATTTTGTGTGCTGAAATCGACTGATGAAATCATTGATTCGCAAACAGCACGCCTGAGGGATCAACAAAGTAAAATCTTTAAATGGCTACCAGTCTACACACAAATAGCCCAGTGCACAGGGCCCAATTTACGTGTGAGTTCTGTAGATTGGTTGAAATGGAAACCTGTGGTGTGGTAAGCCAGGTCAAGCCACATGTCTGGGAATTTCCAGCCCATTTTGGTTGGTTAATGGTTTATGTGCTTGGACGTATAGTGTGATGGCTTGTTGTTGCGTAACTTCTACGGTTGATCCGGTAATGGACTAAGCCAACACAGCACAGCCACTCAACGTAATGTTATTGCCCAGATATTCAACAATGGCAGTAAAGACGCACTGAAAAGCACATTTCACTGGCTTGCGATCAATTGAAATTGTCAGTTTAATTATGCGAGCCTCTTGAGTAGGTCAGGGATTTTTGGTGTTACAGTATCCAGCATGATGGCATCACGTTTTTTTAGCCACCCGATCCAGTTTTTGAATTGATCAATTGCAGGTCCATTTTTGACCACAACAGACCATTCTGAAGATGCCTAAATAATTACTTCCTGCTTATTTAAACTAAATGCGCTAATGGATTTCAATTCTTTGAGGCACTTTATAATTAGTTATATCCTGCTGAGTTAATTGGCAAAGCCTTCAGTAGATTGATGATTCATCCTAACCACTATCTTCTTTTTTTACCATTTTAGCTACATAAGCCAGTTGGACTTGGAGAATAATACAGGGTGAAAGAATATTTAATACACGGTACAAACGAATACATAATGGAGACAAAATAATACACAAAAGAGAAAAGAAAATGGTGTGAATAATTTTTGGTACTCCATTGTTTATAATTACTGTGCAATGACTTGCTTTCACTGGCACTATCAATGTTTTCATACATTTTTTTACTTCACTTTTCATAACACTTGTTGAGCTACATGACCCACGTTTGACCCTGAGCAGTCGGTTGTTTTTATGGTTTTATATATTTATGAATTAATCTGTTCTCATGCCACAGGGTCTAAACAATTCACTGTCGTAATTTTAGAAAACAAATTACAGTAGGGACAAAGAAGTGAGAGGTTGAATCGTTTTCTTTTCAGTACATTAATGATGCAGAAACGAGCTTGGTCCATATTGTGAAATCCATTTCAATATCGTTTTTAAAACTACAGCTTAATTCCTGTTAAATACACAGTCTGCCGTGGAATGTAGTGTGTTCAGGTTTTTAGACATTTTCGTTTATTATAATTATTAAATCGCAATGGAAAAATTGTATGAACCATCCCTGACTGTGACACAAGTTAATAACGTTGCATTTGCTTTTCCTTAACTATGGACACGGGCAAGTACAATACAAAGTTTTCTGTTTTCATATTTGACATCGGAAACTCAAGATTGCTTAAGTGTGTGTTTTCTTTCCTGTTGGCATAACGTATTAGGGGTCCAAGGCTGATCACTGCTTATTAACACACACACACCACTGAGCGTTGTTAACAGTCCATTTTTTATCGATTGACTTGGCCATTGGACTCGATGGGTTCATTCCTCTGTCGCGTTTTGGTGGAGCCAATGCTTTGGCGGATGAAATACAGGCCGTCTGGTTAGTTGGCACTTAGCAAACATGCCCACAGGTCTGCAATCGCACAGTGCTACATCCCCCCCCCCCCCACTTCTTAACCGAGTGCTGTGGCAGCTGCAGTTAATTTTGGCAGGCGCTCTTGGAGGGGTGTGTGTTATGGATGACACACAGCTTTTAAAGTGGATACTAAAGGACACCTCTTATTAAAGTCTTCTGCCCTGTCAGGACTTAAATATTTAGGGAGGAAAAGTTGTTTCTGGGCATGAGTTGTGACCACCTGCTGGGGAGACCACTTTCCAACACCAGAAAGTGTTTGTCTCGATGTTGTTTTTGGGTTAACGGAGGCTTTTTAGCATTAAGTGCGGGCTAGCTTGACTCGCACAAACACGTTGAGTCATTTGCACTTCCGGGAAAATTCTCTTGAAAATAAAATAATTCTCAGTTTGTTTCACAATGTGTGGCTCATTTGTCAACCCATGCCTACACTACCTTTAATATTACAGGATATACTGTATATTGACAAGGGTGGACATTTTTAAAAATACGTTTATGCTATCTTCAAGCAGGTTAATATTTAAGTAACGTTTTAATATTACAACCGTTTTGTATATACAATTTCATGGTGCTAATGCAAATGGAGTTGTTGCATATTTTAGAAAAATGGTGAAATTTCCATGATGTCGGCTGCAGGTGATGGCGTGTACACACCGCGAGATTCACTATCAAACCGTGCCCGGCTCTCTCCCACATAACCCCCTCCTCACAGCCCTGCGCTGCGCCTGCAAGACCTGCGCCAGCAGCAACTACATCTGCGAGACGAATGGCATGTGCCAGGTGATCGCCGTGCGTAATAAGGACGGTCATGTCACCAACGACCGCAAGTGCTTGACGACAGAGAGCCTGCAGCCGCCAGAGCGGCCCTTCCTGTGCGTCGACTCCGTGGGCTCCCAGTCGCGGTTCAAGGTGCAGTGCTGTTCGCAGGACCTGTGCAACAACAAAACGCTCTCGCTGGATCCGGTGCATAATAACGAAGCAGGAAAACAGCCAGGTGGGTGGCTCCATGATTTGGTGTGTTTGTGTGTAGGTATTGTTTCAGCCAGTCATCTGTCAGTCTACCGATGGCACCTGGGTCTTTCACGTGACCTGCCAGCGTGCGTTCGATACTTTACGCGGCCTTAAAGTGCACATAGCCTGGCACATGCGCTGTGGTGACATCACCGCCGCTTTGTGGCGAATGGCGGTTGTTGTAGATATTATTTCATTTTAGTTGCTAAGTACAGGCAATGGGCCTTTGATAGGAAGTGGTGAACAATCGAGAGAAGTACAGAATATTGCACTGTAGGTGAGCATCATCAAGCAGGGTTTTGTTAGAGTTTTGGATAGGTAATGCACAAGTCTCTGTGTGACTGCACCAAGTGAGCATTAAAATCCTGTGTTGGAGTCTGGACAAATTCTCAAATGTTTTTTATTCTTTTGCTTCAAAATATAGGTCTGTAAAGCCCGTAAGCTGACTTAAAGATAAAAAATTTTTTTTAAGGGGAGAGGTGAAGTCTTTATTTTATTACACAGTGCAATGTGTAATATATTTTTCTGAGGTTTAAATTAGTTTCACGTGTGTAGTGACTTGATGGAATTAAACCGGTCACCAAATGAAACCTTATATTGATTTCAGCCATCTTCAGCCTTGGGTATTGGAGCTATTGTATAGCAAAACAGTTTAAGAGCTGGTGTTATAGGTTGAGAAACGAAGTGCATGTTTTACCCAGGTCAGCGGCTATTGGAATGAAAAACTTTTTTCCCTCAATTTTTTTCTTCCTCCATTTAATTAAGTCGCTAATAATGCACACCCATAAATGAATATATATCACATGTTCAATTAACTGTATTTCCCGGAGCCAACATCCAAATTAATGTCAAAGCCCAACTGCCTAGTTTTAATAATGAAAGTTCACTTAATGTGTCCCATGTGTCACAGCCTGAAGAGTAATTATCTTCCTTTGCTTCCATCGTTGTGTAACACTTGCTCACTACATCTTCCACCCCCCCCACCCCCCTCAAAAATCTGTGCCTCCTTCATTAGCAAAAGTGCTTGGCCTGTGTTTCTAATTGAAGTTAATAACATAAAGCAACTGCAATTAGCCTGTTACTCAATAGCATGTGAAAGCCAATTGAGATGCATAATCAGTTTTGGAATCTTACCTATAAATTGTTCAATGTGAAAAGTAATGTTGTGGAAAACTTAGAGCGTTTATTAATTTTAGATTCATTATTTGAATCTGCTGATGGGTTTCACTGCCCCAAACGAATGATAAATATTATCATTGAATGACATCAGCCAATGCACAACCATCAAAGGGAGCGTAAATCAAAGGAAAACGATTCTTGAAATATATTAATGTCAAGGAATCTTGGTCAATCTTCTTTGGTTCTTTCGGTAAAGTCACGTAGATTGAGAATAAAATAATAAAATAAGACAATGAAATTCTCACGACGTTTCGGCCACAACGCAAGTAGCCTTTTTCAGGTGAAAGAACAGAACTGTCGGGATGACAGAGCTTTCACCTGAAAAAGGCTACTTGTGTTGTGGCTGAAAGGTCGTGAGAATTTTATTGTCTTAGTTTATTCTCATTCTACGTGACTTTACCGAAAGGACCAAAGAAGATGAATCCTTGCAGTCACGAAAGCTTCAAATCGAAATGTAATCTTGGTCAATGTCATCGATACCATCACACACTGCTATTGCTTTCTTGCTTTTGATATAATCGCTCAGCTTTTGCAGTTGACACCTTATTGTCAAGCTATTAGCTTACAACATGCCACTGTCTTTTGGTCTTGGTTAACTAAAAAGCGTTTGGCCAAAATCCTTAATAAGGAATAGCCCAGATATTTTAGGTTAGCTTTCCCGAAAGAACTGCAGTTCAATGAGGCTTTACTGGATAAACAACGGCCTATTAGGTATCACAAAGCAGAGGAAAAATGCCTTGGCATTGTGTTATTTGAGCAGATGTCAAATTTCCAAAGATTAGTGTTGGTTGTGCCTTGAGTGCCTTCTACCTCGACCATGCCTGCAGTTGTCATCCATTGACTGCAATAAATTATTGACGAACGAGTGCAGTTTCCAATCTCTTTTCCTTGTCCAAACAAGCATGTTTGTTTACTTTGTCTCTGTTCCATATCTCATCCTTTGCAGATGACAAGAGGTTTTGAGCTCTCCCCATTAAACATTTTGATCCACTCTCCAGGCCTTGTTCTCTAAAAAATAATCCCTTTTTTTTAAGTGGAATAGTTTGGAGGTTGTTTGTGTGTGTGTGTGTTGCTCATCGTAGTACTGCTTTTGGTTATTGAATTATAAGCAGAATGATAACATATCTATGATTAAAATCAATAGTCGTAGTATGATGTGTTGATGTTTAAAAACAATCTATCGTAGAGTGGTAGTAATTAGTTGTGCCCATCCTACTGCTACTCCCTGCCCCCCAGCTACAGCCAGGCCTACCCCAGCCCCTCCTTAAGCACTCCCACCTGTCCTAACAGTCACCGTAACTACACCCCCACTCTTTATTTTAACCACTATCATATGCACGATTTGATAATTGTTGTAAATGGCCTTGGACTAAGCCCCTCGAAAATTAACTACTGTTTTATAAACTTTTTTTTTTATTTTATCAGGTAAGGTTCACTGAGCTATAGAGCTCTTTTTCAGAAGCGACCTGGGCACAAATGAAAGATCGACCAAGTGGCTTATGTAGAGATGTATAGCAGCAAAATACTCTCAACGCATGTTTATAAATGTGGAGGGAAAAAAACGGAGGACCCGGAGAAAAATGCACGCGACCATGGGGAGAATACGCAAACAGCAAATATATAGGCATCGTCAGGGGCGGGATCGGACCGACGACCTCCTGCATACCAGCCGAGGGAGTTAACATCTCTCCACCACGGTGCCCCATCTATACAAGATATAAAATGTGTGATCGTCTTGTTAAATTGACACTCCCTGCAGATGAGCGCCCGATGAGTTCCCTGGAGCTGGCAGTGGTCGTTCTGGTGCCGACCGTGCTGTTGGTCGTGGCACTCATCGCCTTCCTGTGCCATCGCCGCTCGCTGCACCGTCACCGCCACCATCCCGTGCCCGAGTTTGATGCCGAGCCCTACCGCGAGGACTCCTTCATCCCCGATGGGGCCTCCATCAAAGATCTGCTCTATGAGATGACCACCTCTGGCTCGGGCTCAGGTTGGTGGAGTTTGTTAAACGGTGTTTGATTGACTGTTGCATTCAGAAACTGTTTTGTTTCACCCTGACCACAGTGGCATTTGGCATGTAAGGATTCAGCCTCCATTCTGATCCCCTGCCGATTTTATTTAGGGTCTCAGTGTAACTCAATGTATAATTTGTCTCATTTTACAATCTCATTTTATTGCTACTTCTGTCGTCGTCCAGTTTTCACTCCATCATCTCTAAATGCATAGTTAACTTATTTTTAATTGGCAAAAAAACATGATTGACTTTCACATATGGTGTATGCATTAATTACCATTATGAGAAGCAATTAAATGGATGAGTTTATGGATCATGACATGTCCATTTGGTAAATAATGATTTACCCCATCCCCACCCTTTGCGATTCAGTGCATTGCCATGATTGGGAGGTCACAGTTCTGTTCAAGAATAGTTGTGTTTTTCTTGTTTGTACTGTCTTTTTATCTTGTTTAATTTGAAATGTGTGTTTGCAATAATTTGTGTAGTCCCTCGTTTCTATTGTGTGCTCTCTCCCATTTGTTGTTGTCTCATTCTGTCAGTTTTTTTCTTGTGCTGTTTTGTCTCCACACCCGTATTTCTTCTGCCTCATTTGTCCACTGTTCTAAGAAAAAAACCAAATGCATCATGTTTGTACGACTCAAATGCATTTTACATGCATGATCTGATGCAAGTAATATGATTATAAGAATACATTTTATTCTATGAATCGTTATATAACGAACGAATCATGTCCTTGATGTTTCTGCGTAGCACTGCAGTATTGGGCGATCCTGATACTGCATCACAGTTACATATCGTACCGATCAGTAGAATGGCTGTTGTTAAAGAAAACATTAAGTATCTAACGTCTACATTATTACCTCTATCACGTTTTGAAATGAATAGTCACTTGTAAATATATAAAAAAAATCCCTAATCTTCATTATTGCTATTAATATCCTTGGGTTATTAAATCTTTTGAACAACTTTTCTCCTTATTGGCAATATTCAGCATGAGGCACTTCCAAGACAATGCTTTTATTGTGCAAAACTCTTTAACGTAGGAAATTCCTAGGCAGTCTTAACTGTATTGGGACCCTCCTTTATAAACACTGAAATGAATAGCACCGTTTTGTTTTCACGCCTTTATTTACCTTGTATATTAAGCCACTGGTGATCTTTGCCGTTCTGTACTTAGTGCCTGTAAGTCTATTAACTCTGAACCCCAGAAGGCTCAGCAGATGGGGGAAGCTTATGTCTGTTAAATTCGTCGTGTTGCATTATGACCTGACCCACACTGTTGTACTGCTCGTCTTGTTGTCTGGGTTTGTTATTTACCTCATCGTACCCTGTATGACTCTTGCCTGTTTTCTTTTGTATTATGAGAATGTGTCATTTATATATTTGTTATCATAGTTTTTTTTCTGATTGTTGCTGTTTTTGCGTTTTTTTGTTTGGTTTTTGCATTTATTATCTTGACGAATCCAAACATTTGAAAGCAATGTTTTTGGACCATGCATTGACCCTCTCTAGGGCAGTGAGTAAGCAGTACAGCAAGTACACTTCCAGCCAGTTATCGGTGTAGAATTCAAGTATCCTCTAATTGTATGCATTCATGGTTTTTCCTCCCAGAAACTAGACTTTCCTTCAACACAAAGCAATACCAAAATACTCAATTGGAATTGACCAACACTCTGTTTACCCCCGTGTGCAGGCCTGCCACTGCTGGTGCAGCGCACCATCGCACGCACGGTGGCGCTGCAGGAGAGCATAGGTAAAGGCCGCTTTGGCGAGGTGTGGCGCGGAAAGTGGCGCGGGGAGGATGTTGCCGTCAAAATCTTCTCGTCACGTGAGGAGCGCTCGTGGTTCCGTGAGGCCGAGATCTACCAGACCGTCATGCTGCGCCACGAGAACATCCTGGGCTTCATTGCCGCCGACAACAAGGGTGTGCCATGCCCTCGTCCATCCAGAAACCTTGGATATTTCTCCACCTCGTAAACCTTTAATCCCCATGAATCCCAATTACAATTGCTGTGATTACCGTGAGATGGAGGCACTTGTGTCCCTCATGCTCGCCTTAGAAATAGTCGAGTGTAAATCTAGAACTTAAATGGCATAGTGGGATGATTTGACCAAAGGGCAAGCTTTTGTACACCTTTTATAGTACAGAGCTGCCAGTTGCTACAGCAGAATATTTTAACCCGATTTAAATAAATTATTTTTCAGTAATATGAATAGGGTAGCTGGCAACAGGAATAGTCCTAACAAATATGTGGCTCACTGGCCTTAAATGTAAGGTGTGCGATTTTTCACCAATGACTTAGATCGTCGTCAGTAGGCTGAAATTTCTATCGATAGGCTTGGGCACAGAACCATCAGTGATGGTTGCGTAATTGGTTGGACACTGATGTATAGAACTCCCATTTTCAGTATAGCCTAAGGTTTAGCGTATTGCAGATACCTCTGCAGATATTCAAGTGAATTAGCATCTCAAGTCAGGGGAGAGAGATTGGTGACTTATCTGAACCGGTTCTGGACCTCCCATAGGTCGACTCTGCATCAAATGAGTTCCTGTTGCAGTGTGTTAACATCAACACTGTGGAGAGAAAAGTTGCTGGGCATGCTGCTGGCCACTCACCCCCTCCTGTGCCGTGTTGGCCTTCATAGGTGCTTGCGAACTGGATCTCCCCCAACGATTTGTTGAGGCTAAAGGGGGGATATTTGTCTTTGTTAATCATATGTGCCCATGTCTCCCATGTACTTAATGTACTCATGTATAGCCCTGCCACCGCTCCTTAATCACACCACATCTTCCACTGCTGTTCAACATCACACCACCACTGGCCACTTACAGGAATACTTATGGGGATTTCCAAACATTTGACGATTTTGACACTATTGTTCTACTAGAGTCTTAAATAGGTCTCTTATATACAAAATAAAACCGTGTACACAATGCCCTGCATATATAGTTTTTGTCTCACAAGATTCCAACCAATCTGTTGAGTCCACAAAGTTGGGATACTCCAAATGAAGTGAAAAAACAATTCTAGCAATGGCTTTTTTTCTAGTCTTCAGTAACCAGGCTGAGACCATCAACTCTCTACACTTGAGAACCTAGTTTAACCATGAGTATCTGAAACACGGATTTGAACCCGGGACCTCTGCTGTGTTAGCTGACAGTCTACACTGTACAGCCACCTTAGCTTCCCCCCATCCTTAGCTAATCTTGCTGCGACGGATGGGACCTGCATTCCTTTTCAGACAATGGCACGTGGACCCAGCTGTGGCTGGTGTCGGACTACCATGAGCACGGCTCTCTCTTCGACTATCTCAACCGCTACACGGTGACGGAGGAGGGCATGGCTCGCATGGCCCTGTCCATCGCCAGTGGGCTCGCTCACCTGCACATGGAGATTGTGGGGACTCAAGGTAAAATGTCTCCTGAAGGAACGCATTCATGGTCTGTTCTTGTCGGAGTGCAACATAAGGTTAAAGGTGTGTTTATTTGGCTGGATGTAAAGTTGCACAACTTGTAATCCTAAAAAGTGGTGGTCGGGTTTGTGTGTCGTGCAGAGATGGCCACCATTAAATGTCTGAGGCACCTACCTTTGTGGCTTCTGATGTGCATACATTATTTAGTACTAGTACATTTTTGCCCAATTTGAGTGAAAGTTATAGTGTCATCTCTTCACATCCTTGGGTTTTCTCCAAGTACATTGGTATTCTCAAACAAATAATAATTTCAACTTGTAATGCGCACATTATTTTCTCTTGTGGGATAATGATTCGAGAGGTGCAAGGAACCACACACAAGCAGAAAGGCAGCCACGCGATGAGCCGGCGCCAACAATTGCCTAATCTCTGTGGTCCTTTTATATATGAAGATGTTATTGGTCAATTAACGAGTGTTTACATATGGGAGAAAACCGGAGCACCCGGAGAACACCAATGCTTGTGAGGGGGCAACATTCTATCCCATACAGACAGAACAGGTGGAGTCTGCATATTTGCTGTACTATCTTCTGGCAAGCCATGGTATGGCATCACGATGCCCATGGGAAGGGAGTTTTTTCACAGCATTTGTTAAATCCATCAACCCTTGCCTCCATCCACATTGCTGAATTACATGAGTGCACCACCACTGCCCAGCTAAATACTCAACTGGTCAAATGACCCATGCAGGATCCTATTGGCAAAGTATGTTAACAATTCTCCTGGTGCTTGGCTAAATAAAGTTTTGTTGATATGTTGGGTTAATGTGGAGATTGTTAAGAGTGTCTCAGGATGCAGTTACATTTACACACGTGCATAAATTAAACTTGTGTTTGTAACTTTATTGTGTTGTGCCTTGACAGGCAAACCGGCCATTGCGCACCGAGACCTAAAGTCAAAGAACATCCTGGTAAAAAAGAATGGCACGTGCGCTATCGCCGACCTGGGTCTCGCCGTGCGCCACGACTCGGCCACTGACACCATCGACATCGCTCCCAACAACCGAGTTGGCACAAAACGGTGAGACAAGCAACAAAACAGGGAGGGGCCACAGTCCCATTTAAACAAAACCACCAAAACAATGTGACCTGTCCCATTATTGATATTGGAGAAATTGGCAGTCTGTGAAGTAAACATTATTTGAAATATCTTCGTTGGTTCTTTCGGTAAAGTCACGTAGAATGAGAATAAAATAATAAATTGATAAAATAAAATAACACAATAATATTCTCACGACGTTTCGGCCACAACACAAGCGGCCTTCATCAGGTGAAGGGACGAGACTGTCTGGTAGGACAGCGCTGGAGTGAAAGAGCCACGTTCAGATTACGGCCTTTAAGCTGTGTGAGAGGAACAAAGCGCCTTGACAAAGGAATTAGCATATAATTTAGCATTGAAATGGCTGAATGATTAGCTAAATTATATGCTAATTCCTTTGTCAAGGCGCTTTGTTCCTCTCAGACAGCTTAAAGGCCGTGATCTGAACGTGGCTCTTTCACTCCAGCGGTGTCCTACCAGACAGTCTCGTCCCTTCACCTGATGAAGGCCGCTTGTGTTGTGGCCGAAACGTCGTGAGAATATTATTGTGTTATTTTATTTTATCAATTTATTATTTTATTCTCATTCTACGTGACTTTACCGAAGGAACCAAAGAAGATGAATCATTGCAGTCACGAAAGCTTTAAATCGAAATTATTTGAAATAGGTATAGGCCAATACTTAAGTTGTATATTGGAACAAATAAATATCGTAATAGCATTCTGGGCAGTTGGGCCTTTTGAGAATGAGTGAAGCAGACCTGGGGTGAACTACAATTATAATTGTCATTCGAAATGAATTACAATCACATGCCATTGTAATTTCAGCAAAAACATGCTGGTGTAATTCTAATTATAATGGAACCCAAGTCTGGGGCGAATTGTTATTTTTACATTTTTTATCGTTTGTTATTTTCATGTCGTGTGCACCCTCAGGTACATGGCTCCGGAGGTGCTGGATGACACCATAAACCTGAAGCATTTTGACTCGTTCAAGCGTGCCGACATGTACGCGTTGGGGCTCGTGTACTGGGAGATCGCACGTCGCTGCACGCAAGGAGGTATGACGGGTGGGGCGGCTTGTTGCCCCTAGTTGGAGGGTAACAGGAAATGTTCTGAGCCTTTGTGTAGCTATCAAGTGTGCAGGAAGTGTGAATGCATGGGCCCCCCCCCCGGTGCTTGCTGGGGCCCACCAAGCGCTGGGCTATGAAAACGAGGAGGAAATTGGACCAGTTGGCCCCATTTCATTCTTTATACCATTGCTCATGCTAAACGCACGCTACGCCAATGACAGCCTGCATTTATTGGGAGTAACGACCCACTTGTCAAAATTTGATTCACAAACTATTTTTTTGCCACTGCGGTCCAAGTAAAATTCATATTGATATGAATCTGGAATATTTAATAGTAAACATGAAGTGGAAGTAATTGATTCCTAAACGGACAATTAATTGTATCTAGCGTGTGCGTATGAATTATGTTTTCACAAGTAATCATTGCATACCTCATGTTTACGGTTAGGCATTAGACAGCAAGGCTGTTATTAGCCGCGCTTACCTTAAGGCTTTTGTAGGTATAGATTCCAAGTTATTGTTCAACTGGTTGTGGTGACGTATGCCTGTAATCCAGTGCTTTGGTAGCAAGGGTTGGTTAGTGGGTCACATAGATTTGTGAAACTTACAAATTCACTGTTGCAAGGGGCCTTGTAGATAGCAGCAGAGCCAATGGGCTCATAGACCCATCTGTGCAAACTTGCCTATCTCAGTTGAGTTTTTCTCTCGGTACTCCAGTTCCTGCCTACACGTGAAACTCCCACTTAGAGAAAATTGTCCAAACATCATCATGCAGGACACTTCTATATGGCCATGAGACTTATGAGCTTTGGTGTTAATTGTATATGCAGCTGCAAAGTTATGGTAATGTGCATTATAATAATTGTAACCCCCTACCACTTCAGGAGTATTGGACGAGTACCAGCTGCCCTACTATGACGTGGTGCCATCAGACCCATCCGTGGAAGAGATGCGCAGGGTGGTGTGTGACCAGAAGCTACGTCCCAGCATCCCCACACGCTGGCACAGCTGCAAGGTCAGTGGTGGTGCCCATTTCTCTGCCCTCTGTTCTCTTCTGCTTCAGCCTGCCACTGTTGATAATCAAGTTATGTACTACTTGATACCAAAATTGGTGAAACTTTAATATCTACCGTTTGTGAATTTGTCATGACATCTTGAAACATTTGCCTTTTTCGATTTTATCGGTTTTATCCAAAATGTACTTTTGAAGTTTAGACAAATTGTACCCCTTGCTTTCTGCACTATGCCAAATTATTTGACCATTTACAATTAAGCAATGCTTTTGGGAAGTATTTTGCACCTGGGCCGTTAAAAGTGTGTTACACTTCAACATCTCTTTTTAAACTTTGGTGGATGTTCAGAATTGGAAACTCATCAGGAGTCAGCAGTGGCTCACTTTGGCAAGGATTTGCACACGTATTGAGTTACTGTGCTTCAAGGAATTTATTGTTCTTCTATTTTACATAGTTTAGTTATTGACAATATTGTCCGGCAATCATTGCTCATTTTTCGCATTTTTTTATTGCAATTGCTTACGCACCGTCTCCTTATAAACGCCCTTCCCCCTCATGCAGATGCTGCACATTGTGGCCAAGATCATGCAGGAGTGTTGGTACCACAACGCAGCGGCTCGACTCACGGCGCTGCGTGTCAAGAAGTCCCTTTCACAGATGCAGACGGCCCTGGCGTAGTAACACCACTGTGCCACCAACTTGGAACTCCACAACACCTCAGTACCGGAAGCCGAAAGCGCAGGGATATTGAACAAATGTTTGTCTTTTTTTTTTACAGATGTTTTGAAATTAGTTTTGCTTTAATTCCTTCCTGGTGTTATTGTTTTGTTTCTACTATTTTGTTTTTAAAACTCGGGCCTGAGTGCCGTAATGCACGACATGCCCAGTCTTTGGCAAGGTCTCAATCTCCAGTAGGGTGTTACACTGTGCTTTGTCGTGCTGTTCTGTAGAACACCCTTCCCTTTTAATTATCAGGATGTGCAAGCGAAGGGGCAGAGAGTTGCACCTTTTGTTGGAATTCAAAGGTGTAAACCAATGGCCAAATTGGTGATGAGTTCAGGGGCACCGTTCAATTTTGCTAAATCGTGCTTTGAAGAGTGCTTGGATGGGGATATATTCTCCAACCACTTAGAGCCTCCAGACTACCTCACTCCTTCCAATGTATATCCATGGCTTTTCAGGACTTCATGCCTCCAGCGCAGAGGCCAGGGGGGGCAGCGTGTGTGTTGAGTCAGCTTAAAGAATGAAAAACCAGTGTTAACATAAACTTTCCGATTGTCACCATGATTTTTTATTACTTTTTTTTTTCAATGCATTGCCACCTTAATTACAAATAGTGATATTTGGTGACTAGTTTCATTTGTAATTTTGTCTTTATAGTCAACAACCTGACATCATGAAAGTTCAGGTTTTCTCTGCGTAAGATAATATTAACGTATTTACTATGTTAACACCAGACGTTTTCTAAGCCATAGCTCAAGCCATAAACAGGACCTTGTAAATCACTGATATGGTAAACTAACCTTACACTTTTTTAGGAACTACTCCAGACAGATGTATGTGCATCGGATGAGTAAAAAACACCCCACAATAACCACATGTAAGTTTTGCACAATGTGCCAGCCTGAATTTTTCCCCAGTGTCCACATGGTGCAGGAGTATTGAGCATTTAAGGGAATCTATTGAGCAAGTTGACGGGCAACATCTGCGGCTCATTGGGCAAATCATTGTGGCATTTTGTAACTGGTAAGGCCTTTACCTGGACAGAAAAATGGTGTACTTAAATTTTATGCAACATACAAACATTTGAATGTAATCTGCGTAAGCTCAGTGACTTTTTTTATTTCGTATGCACGGTCATTTTTCCTCGGAGCCTCAAATTTCCGTCGTAATCTTAACTAATGAAAGTAAGCACGGTTCACCTCACTGCGATTAAAGGATTGTTTTTTTCATTGAATTTTTAAAAACAAGCATTCACAAATAGGATTTGGATATAGGATGTAATGACAAGCATAGTGATTAGGGAATTATCACATTTGATAAAGGTACTTTTTGACTGCTCATTGGATGTACGCAGTTGTGATTAAAGTTTTATACAAAGATTTTATGTCTAATTAATTAAGTGTAAAACCTAACTATAGCAACAGGAGTTTTTTTAAGTTAAATTTTTATAGTTTTTTATTTTAGTACTCATTGCCTTTTTCTTACAATTAACAGTCGAGCACTTATCCATTGTAAATATTATTTTTTACCGTTGACAAAATTTTCTTTTTAATTATGTGCCAGGTGATGTACATAGATTTTGAAAATATGAATATCGGTGTGCTGTTTAAATTATCTAGGTCTACTGCATCCCAAAAGAGTGGAGTTGTGTTTATCGATGTACTGAATTATAAATCTGAAAGACAAATTGATGGCTAATAACTGACCTGTTATGTGTGTAATGTTCAATTGATGTTAGGGATATATACATTATAGACGATGAAATGTTTTAAATTATGTGCAAAATTAGTTTCAAAAAGTCATGTTCTTACACTGCTGTAACCTATAATTCTAAACAGCCTTGTAACAGATTTGTTACAGAGCTGTGACTAAGATTGTGTTTGTGATTTGTATATAAATTGTTTATATATGTATATAATGGTAACAGGTTTTTTTTGCAGTTTAAACATAACTCTACGCTTCAAATTTATTAGAAATAACATGTTCTGCTCTGAGAACATTCTCTTGTAAAAATGTAAAGCAGTACACAAACTTAGTCGGCTCATGTACCTTTTGAGTCGGTTCTGCTTTCATTTTTTCAAAAGATCGCTCATATCCAGCGGTGATTGTCACATCAGATGATAGTTGTGGATATCCTAGACAGAATTGTTTTGTGTTGACAGCATTACTTTTGCCCTTGTGGTAAGCTTATCAACAGGAATTTGGAAACAGTACTAAACCAGAGTTTAGTTCATTTTAAAAGGTGTACAAAATGATATGTCGTGCTGTGTGGGCTTTGGCCATGTATTGTGCAACATTGCGTGGACCATGTAAAGTTAAATCGGATTACATGTACTTTCTAAAATTATGAGTTGGTGTTATTCTTCTCTGATTCGTACTTTGTGTTTATTATTTCAGTCTTTATTTTTGAAGTTGAAAACCTACAAGGGCACTTTAGTATTGGGGTTTAAAAACATTAAGGATCACCAGCCTTCGTATTTAGGATCCACTTGGTTTAGCAAAACACTTAATTCATAGCTAATTTAATTAAATAGCTAATTTGCATTTCATCTGGTTCAAACAATGGCTTCAAAACATTTAAAGCGCCGATTCCATTGCATCTGAAAAAATAAAGGCAACATCGTAAATGTATGATTTGAATGATCCCCCTGTCCTTTTTAAGAGGACAAATTACTTGTGTAACTCAGCGGGCTCCCTGCTGCTTGACTCAAGAATATTAAAGGAAATATCTGAGGTTCTTATCTGGTTAAATGACGAAACAATTCAGACATATCTTGGGGAGTTGCCGTCAGCTCAAATGACACACAGGTATTACAGCTCCGTGGGTTCTCGCCATCGTCATCAGCCAGTATCCGTGCACTGCTGGATAAAGGCCTCTCCAAGCCGTCGTGTTTAGTTTGCGATGCAACAATCCAAGTACACGCACGTGACTTGACTTCATCACTCCCATCGTTGCAGTGGAGGCGCTTTCGAGCATAATTTTTGACTTGACCTGCCATACGGTCTTCACATCCCGACCACCGGCTCCAGCCCAAACCCACCACTTTGCGCTCACAATGTCTCTTACCCTGATCGTGTTCCCACGTGGTTAATGGAATGACTCCGTGGCCTCTCGCACAGTTAATTTAATGACGTAATCAAAGAGATCTGAAGTTTTCGCCTGGTTAAGTACATGTCAAGATAATAAAAACAGCGGCCCTTTAAACTTGGTTGATCAAAAGACATCAAAGACGTTTTATCTTTGTGGGCTGTCATCTTTGTTTAATAAAGGACAATCGAATGGGAACAACGCAGTGGGTTCCTACATGGTTAATCAAATGACTCGGCCTGTCACATTACCTGACAATTCCAGATAATGACAATAATTAGAGAGATGACCTCTTGTGTGCTTACCTGCTTAATTAAAACCCCGCTGTATTAAATTCACGGGCACCACGAGCTACTCTCCCATTGGCCCAGAACTGGTTGTGGGCGAGGCCACCGTCTGGTCGCTGCAGCGGAGTTGAGTTTACAAGTTCGCGTCCCCGTCCTTTCACCCCGTGTAAACAGACAAACAACTTACAGGATGGACGATCCGGACGGCGCGGAGGCGCATCTAAACAACAACAACGACGTCGTCGAGGTCATAGAATTGGACGGTGACGCCAACCCGGGTAAGATGATGAAACCACGTTGCGTCCACGTGTGTATAATAGGCCCCAGCCTCGGCCTCGCCTAGCGGCCCTACGGGCGAAGGCACCTCCTGCCCGGCTGAGTACCAGGCCTATCACGGGTGGAAATGGTGCTGCTTTCGGTCGTGTTTACGTGACTTGTGGTTATTCTTAATTGCTACTCTTATTGTAATATTAGCGACGAAGTGGTGTGTTTTATAACAGAATTTTGTATTTATTTAAGCTACTGCCTGTGGTCTGCGATTGTAATATTAACCCCCCCCCTGGCCTGTCAAGGCTTCTGGTGTGAGCAAGCGTTACGTTGACTTTGCGATCATCGTCCTCCACCTGTCAACCCCTTATCAGCGTCTTACCTTACTACAGACAAATTCAGACGTTGTGGGTCACCCCGTGCCCCTTATAAATCTCAACGTTCATCCTACAAAGTCCCATCACAAGGGAGAAACATCATTTTGTTACCGCCCCTATTGAAACGGCTGTACGCCGTATGGACCTGAAAACTCAATTTCCTCTGTTGTTACCATCATCACCGTCGTGATTAACCATCGCACACGAGCGCTATTAGCGACGTGTCCTGCCCCCGCCCCTTTATTCACAGTTTGTTGCCTTCCTGCACTTTAAATAGTAACATTCTTATACAGTTTTTTTTAATATATAATGTAAGCTTGCTTTTAACTCAACCAGCGTTATCATTAGAGAACGTGCATGAAGCAATCATTTGGTACTGGGATCTGCATTGCTGTTGGAACACTGGTGTGCATCAGTGATTTTTTAAATGCTGTTTTTTTAAAATCACCATCGTCATCGGCCATGACCTATCCACTTCTGGATGAAGGTCTCCCCAAGTCGTTGACATCTCTCACGATGCTACAGACCATCCAGCCCCATCCCCTATTACACTTGGATGGAGTGTGCATGTTAATATAGTGCACAAGTTTACAAGAAACATTTACGCTGAACTAACTACATTTTAGTCTGGTACAAGTGGAAGGGACATTGTTTTTGTTTTTGAGCAAATCATTAGCTTACTAAAAGGCTTTTAGGCAATTCTCAAAGTCAAAGGTGCAGTCCTGAACTTACTTTATCAGGTCAGAAGTGCCTTCACTAGAGAGAGCTCTAAAGGGTATTTGACCTACTCTTCCAAACTGCTCAAACAACCTTTAAATATGTGGGAGTGTACCCATACTTATCCATACTTTACCCTTATACACACGACATGCCAATCAACTCGGCATTACTACGCCAATCTTGATTTGAAGCTTTCGTGACTGCAGGAATCCATACTCTTTGGTTCTTTCGGTAAAGTCACGTAGGTATAAAATAAAATACAATAAAACAAATCACGACGTGGGCTTGCATGATATTGTTTTTTTTCCAAGACCAAGGTGCTCTGCAAACCTTCGGGCTACTATCAAAGGTTTGTTCATGAAGCCATCCAGATATATAAGCATAGACAAAACTTTAACCGAGAAGATAGATACAAATTGAGCAATCATTGGAAGGATGTTCTCAACCAGGTAATGCCTTAACTTGTTATCCCCTTGCCACGGCAGCTCTCCCGCCGACTTCAGCATTTTCTTGCTGTGGTTGGCCCACCTGATGAAGTTCACTTGTGTTGCGATCGAAACGTCGTGATTCGTTTTACTTTATTTCTACCGACATGACTTTACCGAAAGAACCAACGGGTAGTACTACGCCAGCTAAAAAACGTGTTTTTGGCACATTTAGATTGCCCTTCAGCGTGCTTACAAACTGGCATCGGTATACTTTGTTTTTTTTTTAATTAACAGATGATCTGGCGGACGAAATGGAAGATGTCGATTTTGCTGATGAGTGCGGTGATGATGAGGACGACGATGATGACGACTACAATGAGGAGTGGGCGAGTGAGGCGGATGATGGTGGAGAAAGTGTTCCTGATGACAGCGAGTTTACGGTCAAGAAGCACAAAGGTTTGAGATTTGGGATGAATCTCATCGCCGCATATCACCAGCAATTTTGAAATATCTTTGCCTAGATAGTAATAATAATGCCATTTGCCTATCATGAAGCTGGAACGAGCCTTCATAGTGCTTGAATGGGTGACGACGCATTAAACAGGTGTCGTATTCTGCGGTAGGGCTACATTGTCAGCAGAGGGTAGTGCAGAAAAAAATGCATTGTTGCACTGTACTTCTATGCCACAATGATACATTCCTTGCCTTTATCACCATTCACTTCCCATCATAGTGAAGTGTGGTCAACAAGACCCATGACCTGGCATTCCAGCAGTGAATTGTACATATACCAGTAAAACCTTGGATTGCGAGCATAATTCGTTCCGGAAACGTGTTTGTAATCCAAAGCACTCGTATATCAAAGCACTCGTATATAACTGTTGTGATCACGTGACGCTCGGCAGACAAAGCGTATACGTACTACTCGTATTGCAAGACCCTCGCTCGTTTATCCAATTCATATTTATTAAAAAAAATTTGCTCGTCTTGCAAAACACTCGCAGACCAAGTTACGCGCAATCCAAGGTTTTACTGTATAATCAAGTCTCACTGATTCTCTTGAGGTTTTCAGGAGGGTGCTGCAATGAGACGTTGGGCCACTTGCACTATTCATTGTAGGACATGTGGAAGGAAACCAGAATGCCTGGATGAATCCAATATATTATGGGATAACCTACATCTTTATATCGAGCTTTGAGCATCGAGAACAGGTGGTACCTGTCATCAACATGACAGCCAGATAGTTATAACTTTGAAACTCGTGATTAAGTGAGTCATAACATGGGAGAAGTACTGAACACTACAATGTGGATTCATACAGCAGACACATGCACCCACATCTCAAGGCACTCTACATTAACCCTGGACATATTTGCCTTGTATTGAGTGAGGCTGACTGCCATAAGCACAGTTAAACAAGCCAGAGGCTGGAGGTTGACAGCACGAATGGCTGGTGGGAAGACAGTTATAGACATTGAGTGCAGAGCAGAGTAGAATGAGCCACCTGTAGAGAATGACAGCTGTGGTGCTGGTGGTGATCCCGGTGGTGGTGTTTGTGCTTTGTGAAGGTGCCGTTTTCTGCGTCGCCCTGGACCCCAAGTCGAACGCGCTGGCTGTGACAGGCGGCGAGGACGACCTGGCGTACGTGTGGAGAGTGGGCGACGGAGAGATCCTCTTCCCCTGCACCGGTAACGCTTTCACCCCTGCTCTCACACCACGGGTGTTAAGTGTCAGGTTCCCAAGTGACACTTGTGTAGGGGTAATATATGTGTAAGCAACCTTGTATAAATAAGACAATCTCCAGTAAAGTACTGTTCATATGGTTAAGCAATTGCAAGATCATGAATAGGCAATTATTTAAAGTGTCTGCCGAAATATTACGTAACAAAAAATTAGGCAATTTTAGCAATTAAGTTACAGCATGTGAAATTTGTAAACGATTAATTCTTGTTTTTGTGGGTGAGTTCGTGTAAAAATGTGTCGTAAATTGTCCACCCGACACAGCCAGTTAACACAAGTGTCACGTGAATTGATTTGTGCCAAATGTCTTCCTGCTTCAGCACACCGGTGTGTTGGAGAGTACTCTTACAGCATTTAAGTGGGTACTCAATTATGAATCGTAATATTATTTGCGAAAGCCTAATTAAAATAGTTAAATGGTAAACGTTGCATGGACATGTAATGATCAGTAAAACGTGCAAAACTCATTTTATTCTAAAAAGTATTTGCAAATCATGCAACATTGACCACTAGGGTTGCCATCTCATGGGTGCAAAATCCAGGACACATCATCATGGTAAGAAGAATATTTCACGGTACCGGCGGAGGAGAGAACCACATGTAATTGCATTCTCTTCAGTGGTGTATTATCCCACAACTGACAAAAACCAGGACATTACAGAGTTCCCACGACTTCCACTTGACAAAAGGACGGTCCTGGAAAAACCAGGACCGGTAACAACCTGAACGACGACGTTCCCCCCACCCCCCCCAACCCCCCACCCCCCCGCCTTGATGTAGGCCACAAGGACTCGGTGACATGCACAGGATTTAGCCACGACTCCTCCATGGTGGCCACGGGCGACATGAGCGGCCTCATCAAGGTGTGGAGCTTGGCCACGGCGCAGGAGCTCTGGTCTTTCGAGGTGTCCGACCTGGAGGTACGATGCACTGAAGGGAGCCCCGGGTGTACCCCTGTCCCCTGTGTGGACGTGTGGTGTGCGGACTGGTTGCCCTGCATGTGCTGGAGGAGGAGGGCTGTCACACCGTTCACTCCGCGTAACATTGACATGCATATGTATTCAATCAATTAATTATTTTGTGTATCTGGTGCTCTAACTGTGTGAAAGTCACGTGTAAAAAAGCATTAGCTAAATATATGTCCACGTGTCTTGGCCTGTCTGTGTAAACATGTTGTGCCAACAGCAGAGGCAGCTGGTGCTGCAGCCTTTTTAAATACGCTCTTCTGTAGTTTCATGTGCAGCTGATAGATGGATGGTTTGTTGCATGGCAAGACCCTGGGAGATGCCGGAATAAAATAGTCACCTTCATTTTGCATTGCAATGATGATGAATGGTGATTATTATGAACCGTTGTTATGATGTGTCTTATTATTATACACTTCTTACTTGAAACAAGAGATTCCTGCTGTCTTCTTACCTGGTCCGACAAAGGAATTGTATTAGAAGCTGTTGTTCTTGTCCTCCCAGTGGATTGAGTGGCATCACAAGGCACCTGTGCTGCTGGCTGGTACCAACTCGGGAGAAGTGTGGATGTGGAAGATTCCTGCCGGTGACTGCAGGACCTTCCAAGGCCCTGGCTGTCAGAGCATGTGTGGGAAAATCTTCCCAGATGGTGAGTTCCGCCAGAGAAAATAACACACCATTGTTAAAGGACACATATGCGACTGTGCATGGTATTTTCCACTTCAGTGCTTCCTTGTATTTAAAAACATTTTTTTTTCCATCAATTGTATGCTTGTGCTTTCAGTGTCATGTCATGAGACAAAGTATACATTTGGATCTCTCTCAGAGCAGTACAACCCTTGGTGTCGGAGAAAGGGCACAGAAGCAGATATGACAGTGATACCTCTGAGATATTTTCAAGTGACCTCTTGTAAACACAGTAGGGGCAACAATTTGCCATCAGTCTTGTCACGGGAGAGCAACGTTCGTCGCTTTAAAAAACAGTACTTTAAAAATGATCAAAACTGAGTATGTAGCAAAATTTAAGTGCAAAGCAAAATTTAATGCGATGGTATTTTTACACTTGAGAACCCAGTTTAATCACGGGCGCCTGAAGTTCAAATTCGAGTCTAGCATCTCGGCGACGCCAACTCGGCGCTCTGACTTCTATTTAGTATTTTTAAAGCGCCTTTCACGAAGGCCGTCTAACCGCCTCGTGGCTTGCTTTGCTGTAATGCTCGCTCACGACAAATAATAGCCCCCTGCTGTCGCAATTGGCCCCAGCTAAACGGAAGGACGTGTTTTGTTGGCGCGCAGGTAAAGTAGCCGTTGTGGGCTACGAGGATGGGACGGTGAGGATATGGGACTTGAAGCAGTCGACGCCTGTGTTCACTTTCAAAGGTGGGTACTGTCGATGCATTTGCGCACTGTGGGTGTTTGTGCTGGGCTGGCCATGCCGGCAGGCTGTGGGAGTTTGTGGATCGTGCTGCAGGCATCGCGAGATACCCAAATGCAGTTCTAAGAGGTGACCAGTAGATGGAAGTGCTTATTTTCAGAATGCAGATGAATCGATGGGTACCTTGGGCTGTTTTTTTTTTTAACCATTTTTACAGTACATAGATTGTATTTTAAAAACGATTCTCACGCTCGCAAATCAAGTATTGCATCATCTGTCTAAAAATGTTTATTCACAGTTGATGTAAATAATTTGCAAATGTTATGCTAATGATACATTTAGGCTAAGAGTTCGAAAAAAAACTGGACTAACCACACCAAAAAAAAAGACTATCGTAGAAGAAATGGAAAAATTAGGTGGCAGTTCATCACATTTCTCCGGGTGGCTAATTATTAGATGCCATATTTTTTACATAATTGTGTTTTTCTCCAGGTGCTCCGGTTTTCTTCCACACATGCATAAATACTTCACAATGAATTGGGCAAAAGATCCCTGAGTCTAGATACTCATCGACGCCGCAGAGTGCCGGGGAGACACTCACCACTGACCGCTGCGCGTGCAGATTTTTGCCGATCTCTCTGTAAGTCCTCCTTGTCCTGCCGCAGGCAAGGATGGGCACCAGGGCTCGGTAACGTGTGTGGCGGTGCACGACGACGGCACGTTGGTGCTGACCGGATCCGTGGACCGCACGGCAAGTCTGCTCAATGCCGTCACCGGCAAGGCAAGTCATCCATCGCCTCCGTTTTATGCCCGCGCTCTGCTAGTAAAGCCAGCCCCCACCCCCGGATGACCGGGACGCAAGCGGGCGTCAGACAGCGACGCATGTCTTTTGCTAGCTGCGCCAGCCAGAAGGTGTTCTTCCAGAGCCGCCAGGATCGGCGTTGGTGGTGCTACAGCACCCTCTTCAAGATGAATCGGCGTGATCCTGCTCGGCTTCCAAGATCTGACGATATCAGGCGTATGCTGGGTGATTTGTTCCTAGTATGTACATATGTATGTTGAACTTCTTCCACACCATACGTAGCCAACCGTGTTAATCAGAGGTGCGGTGGACCCAGTAGCGGTGGTCCTCGTTTATGCACCGTCATGTTTATTCAGCGCTTATCACACATCCGGTTAGCATGGTTGGCTACATGCAGTGCGAAAGACGTTCGACCTACACACATTGGACGGCTCTGGGTGATTGATTGTCACCGCTCTGTGCCCAGGTCCTGCACGTGTTCACGTTGGATGCCAAGGTGGGCACGGGCAGCGGTGCTGGCGCTGCCGACGGAGACGAGGAGGCGGGGAGCTCCAACTCTGTGGAGTCGGTCGGCTTCTGCAAAGTGTACGTCAATCCCATGCTTGTCATCTGCTCATCGTTCGTCAGATTACTTATAAAAAAAAAAGCCGGGATGCCATTTCGCTACCGGGAAGCTCGGTCTGCTTCGGGCATTCGACTTGTGCGAAGAGATTTGCGCATAGAAACTCGCAAACGTGCAAACGGATACGGTCGGTGTATTTGGTGTGCGAGTTCACACCTACTTATGCCCACGTGACCGTGATATTTTATGCACGCAAGTTGCTCTGGCAGCATACAATTTTTTGTTGAAATGTGTTTTTTTAAATATTTCATTTTCAATATCAGGGCGGGGGGGACCCATGCAAATATGTGCCATGAGGTTGGGAAGGTGCACCTAGTCAAATCTGGAATTACTTGGTTTCGGGGTTTGTATTTGTTGTTAAACTGGACATATACAGTGAGGGGAAAAAAGTATTTGATCCCCTGCTGATTTTGTGCGTTTGCTCACTGACAAAGAAATGATCAGTCTATAATTTTAATGGTAGGTTTATTTGAACAGTGAGAGAAAGAATAACAAAAAAATCCAGAAAAACGCATGTCAAAAATGTTATAAATTGATTTGCATTTTAATGAGGGAAATAAGTATTTGACCCCCTCTCAATCAGAAAGATTTCTGGCTCCCAGGTGACGAGCTGAGATTAGAAGCACACTCTTAAAGGGAGTGCTCCTAATCTCAGCTTGTTACCTGTATAAAAGACACCTGTCCACAGAAGCAATCAATCAGATTCCAAACTCTCCACCATGGCCAAGACCAAAGAGCTCTCCAAGGATGTCAGGGACAAGATTGTAGACCTACACAAGGCTGGAATGGGCTACAAGACCATTGCCAAGCAGCTTGGTGAGAAGGTGACAACAGTTGGTGCGATTATTCGCAAATGGAATAAACACAAAAGAACTGTCAATCTACCTCGGCCTGGGGCTCCATGCAAGATCTCACCTCGTGGAGTTGCAATGATCATGAGAACGGTGAGGAATCAGCCCAGAACTACACGGGAGGATCTTGTCAATGAATCTCAAGGCAGCTGGGACCATAGTCACCAAGAAAAAATTGGTAACAAAATACACCATGAAGGAGTGAAATCCTGCAGCCCCCGCAAGGTCCCCCTGCTCAAGAAAGCACATATACATACCCGTCTGAAGTTTGCCAATGAGCATCTGAATGATTCAGAGGACAACTGGGTGAAAGTGTTTTGTAAGATGAGACCAAAATGGAGCTCTTTGGCATCAACTCAACTCGCCGTGTTTGGAGGAGGAGGAATGCTGCTCATGACCCCAAGAACACCATCCCCACCGTCAAACATGGAGGTGGAAACATTATGCTTTGGGGGTGTTTTTCTGCTAAGGGGACAGGACAACTTTACCACATTAAAGGGACGATGGACGGGGCCATGTACCGCCAAATCTTGGGTGAGAACCTCCTTCCCTCGGCCAGGGCATTGAAAATGGGTCGTGGATGGGTATACCAGCATGACAATGACCCAAAACACACGGCCAAGGCAACAAAGGAGCGGCTCAAGGAGAAGGACATTAAGGTCCTGGAGTGGCTTAGCCAGTCTCCAGACCTTAATCCCATCGAAAATCTGTGGAGGGAGCCGAAGGTTCGAGTTGCCAAACGTCAGCCTCGAAACCTTAATGACTTGGAGAAGATCTGCAAAGAGGAGTGGGACAAAATCCCTCCTGAGATGTGTGCAAACCTGGTGGCCAACTACAAGAAACGTCTGACCTCTGTAATTGCCAACAAGGGGTTTGCCACCAAGTACTAAGTCATGTTTTGCAGAGGGGTCAAATACTTATTTCCCTCATGAAAATGCAAATCAATTTATAACATTTTTGACATGCGTTTTTCTGGATTTTTGTTGTTATTTTGTATTTCACTGTTCAAATAAACCTACCATTAAAATTATAGACTGATAATTTCTTTGTCAGTGGGCAAACGTACAAAATCAGCAGGGGATCAAATACTTTTTTCCCTCACTGTATATGGATATAATATTGCTCAGGCAATGCAATCGGTAGCCTTTTGCCTCTTTTAAAAAATGTAATCGATGGAATACATTTCTCTTGAAAATCTGGCGGACAGGCACCCACTCATCGCTGTGGGGTACTTGGATGGAACTCTGGTCATCTGGGACGTCCCGTCACAGACACTGCGCCACAGGTTGCAGGAAGGGGTGAGTCCTGGGTTTAAAAACAATAACCGACTCGCGGGTCTTGAACAATCGACTTGCAACGCAGAGTGAACTTGTTGCGTGGGGGTCTTTAAAATATAGACTGGCAAACGTGTTTTATCGTGGGATCTTACGTTTCTATTCTCCACAGTGATGCCAATAACCAAGTTTTGCAACGAACGAGGACCCCATCGCGCAAATAGAGGGTCCTTGCCTTTAACATTGGTAGTTCACCAGCATTAAACCTTCATGTCTCCGCACGTGGTCCCCAACTGGGTGGGGCAGTGAGCCCAGTTCCCCCCCCCCCACCCACTGGGCCCTGTCGCGTCGAACTCGGGCTGCTGTTTGCGGAATTTCTGTTCGCTTTCCCCCCACCCCTTCGGTGAGCGGTGCCTTGTATCATGCTTGTATTATGCTTGTATTGAGGTGTAATAATAATGAAAAACGGCACTTGTCCCAACAGTCTGTTAAGGATATCGGGGGCGGCGGGGGATGTTGTTGTTTGCGTGCGCGAGCAGGTGGGCGTGGTGAAGCTGCAGTGGGACCTGTCCTCGGCAACGCTCTTCGTCTGCAGCCTGGACGGCCGCGTGCGTCTCTACGACGGGCGCAGCGGTGCCTCGGCCGGGCTCCTGCAGGGCCACCGCGGGGAGGTGCTCGACTTTGCGCTCAGCAGGTGAGGGTGGCGGTGGTGGCTGTGGCGGGGTGGTGGTGGTGGTGGTGTGTGGAGAACTGGGCTGCAGTGGGACTCGAACGGTCCGTTCAAAGCACCGAGCCAGCCGAGTGCCACTCTGTAACAGACTCACGGTTTATCAGTTGATTTATTTACATGCATAACTTTTGGCAAATAGAATTTGGTAATCCAGTAGCATTAAAAAGCCCATCTCTGCTGACGACACCCAGAAGGTCCGAACTGATGCCGAGTTTGCTTGGTTAAACAGACGCTGCTTGATATTTATTGGTCTTGACAGCAATTAGGTTTTGGACTAAAACCCCTGCAGAACAGGGGGAGAACATACATACTCCACACAGAAAGGGCACCCGAGTCAAGATTGGAACTTCGAGCTTCTTGTTGTGTGGCACAAGTGTTACCATCGTGTGTCACCCATTAATCCATCCCTTGGTTCGCCTTTTGCGGCAGGGACTCGTCAATGCTTGTGACGGCGTCGGGAGACCACACCGCCAAAGTCTTCCACCTGCAGAAGCCGGACCGCTAACGGGACCATCGGGGAACGCCCAATCTTGCCGGGGTGAGAATTCTTTCGTCTGTGACCTTGGCAGCATGAGTGGACTTTTGGGGGGACAAGAGCCACCACCCCTCTTCAGCGCTTCATTGGCGTGATCTAAGCATCGCAGCAGCTTCCCAGGGGTTTACGCACAGCCAGACTGCTCGGATGCCGCACCTCGTTGCATCTTTCACGATGAATGGACCCTGGCGTGGAGTTTGAGTGCCGGTGGTACATATTTTCTGCACCCGTTGGCATCGAGAAGATTAAATTGCGTGACCTCTCGTCTCGTACGAAGAGACAAGGGGATTCCATCTTCATCGACCTTTCGCTTCCTTAATAGTCCCTCCCATTCATCAGGAATGCCTTAAAGTACTTTTTCTATCAATTATTTGACTTGTGTAATGATAAGAATGTCCTTCAAATCTGCAGTCACAAATGAAAGAGCATGCTTGAACAATATCGGTAATGAGGTACAAAACTGGAGCTGTCCAATCTCTGGCCCGTGGGTCAAATAGGTCCCGCTAACTTGCTTAGCCTGGCCTGTCACATCACTGGAATTGCAATAAAAAATGGCCCTCAGATGCTGTGAGTTCAAGTTAACCATCTTGCTCGTCGTGTTGTCTTTGGAGCCACATGATGTGCGGGAGTGGGGGTCGGTTGGGGTTGTGGCCCTGTGAGTTAAAATTGGGCACAGCCTGGTTACCGTGTACACCTTTCCATGTGTACCTCTGTCTCCAAGCTCGCTCTCATATAGCCTCTTTACAATACATCACCTCTATCTCGGTTGCATCTTTATAAATGCATCTCATCCTTTGTCTCTTCTGAATCGTATGTCTTCTATCGAAATGTTCTCTTTGCAGTATCTCCCAACGTCTTGTATGAATGCATCTTGTGTCTTGTCGTACCACCGATTTAGCATGGTTGACTACGTACGGTGCGAAAGAGGTTCAACATACATATGTCATCTGACTGCCTCTCCTCTCAGTGTTACTCTCCTATCACTTCCATTACTATCTCTTGTACTTCTTTCAAATGCCCACGACCCATGGCTTTCGAGCATGTTCACCAATCTGGTCCTTAAAGCAAGAAATCCGGACGAACCTGTCTCCAAACCGGTCGCAAAGGAAACCCGCTGAACCTGTAACTTTCGTTTTCAGTGTTTTAGGTTTCTGACGCGAGCCCGACTGAAGTTCCTATGAATAGCGGATCCAAGTGGATTCATGACATGCTCCGCTGTGGTCAGTGGAATGCTTCACCTGTGCCACAAGTAGGATATCTTGAACCATCCACGCTGCAGTGGTAATCTTCGACGCCCAAGTTCCAGGAATTGAATTCCACTTTTTACAGGTAAAATGCCGACTGCTGATGAGAATGGGATCCCAGATCCTTTTACATGGGGTAATATATAAAAATATATAAATATAAAATATAAAAATAAAATATATATTCTTGGTTCTTTTGGTAATGTCACGTGACTTTACCGAAAGAACCAAGAATATGAATCGCTGCAGTCACGAAAGCTTTAAATAAAAAAAAATATATTTACATTTATAGATCCAATTAATGTTTTGGCAGATCGTGTGCACTGATATTTTGGTGGTAAAAATTTACAAAGGGCTTTTGCTTCCATTGATTTTTGCCATGTTCCTTCAGCAGTTATCGCTAGAAAATCGGCTTCCGTCCACTACACGCATCACGCCCCAAGTATCCGCATAGGGCATCTATGACCAAATTGCCTGGAATGCACCCGATCTCGACAGATCCCTGGAAGCGAAGTTGTTTTGAGCCAGGATAGTGCTTGGATGTGCGACCATCATGCACACTGCGTTGGACAGCAGAGGGCAGTAAAGGAAAGTCCATGGTGTACCACGGCTATCGTCAGTGCTGCCCCGCCTGCCTTCACCAACCCCCACTGACGAGCGTGAAGTATGGTCAAATGACCCCCCCACCCACCATGACCTGCACAGCGTGGGGAGGCCCTCATCCAGTCGTGGATTGACAAACGGCACGGCGAAGGTGCCAGCACCACAGCTCTGCAGGTGCGGTGTCGTGGTATCGCCTTACCTGAGGGGTCCTTTAGCTGCATCTGTTCCTATTATGGTCATTGTTATGTTGCTTGTGAGTGTAAGTTAATTTGGCCATGCCTTAAATGATAATTTTTAAAAGACCACAAAAATGCGTTTTTAAATTCAGACTTACATAAAATTTGTCGTCGGAAAAATAAAGACCGTTAATAAGTTTGAGATAGCAATAATAGCCAGATGTAATAATAATAAGAAAGCTGTCTCTTGTACCTCTGTCTCGCATAAAAAAATAAAAGTAATACATAATCTGTCAGCCGCTTGGCATTCTGGGAGTGTGTAATTTCAGCATTGATGCGATTCAAGCAGTTTCAAAGTTTCTGAGATTATCCACTTTCAGAAGGCCGTGTGGCTGATGGGTTTTGTAAGAAATACTTCAGATTTTGTTTATGTGGAAAGACCGATACACGAAGTAGACATTGTCTACTTATTTATTTGTTATTTATATTCTCCACAACGGGAGCTAACAATTATTTTGAGACGCAATTACTTTATTTGGTCAAATCATTTTTACTAGGACGCGTAAAAACACGCTGCAAATCTCAAATGTGTTACGGCAACAAAATAATATAACGAAATGTTCTGAAATAAAATTACATTTTACGATGATGGATCGTCATTTATTTTTTCACATTGTATCTTTTCACATTGCATCTTTTCACATTGCATCTGTTGACTCATAAACACACCACACTATTAAGTATATGCCTCTCATGAAACCCCAGCATTTAGCTTTCATCAGTTTGCAGTCGAAGTCACAGTCGGATGTTAACACTATAATAAAGTAACATTATTTTTTTCTGATGTGATTACAAACTGATTACAAAGCATTTTTTTTCCTAAGCAAATATACGTTTTGGTCAATTAGCTATTTGGCTTTAAAGACCAATATCACCAGCATTTGTTTAAGCAAACAGGCTGTATCATATTGATCTGGAATGGTAATAGCCTGATGGAATAAAATATGAATATATGTGACAGCACCGACCTCTGCTTACACATGCTTTTACCCATAATTCTCCACAGCAATGCATAATGGCTTTTATGTACGGTACTGACTTTTTGAGGTTGGTTGAATTGTATATATTTGCCAACATGTACCAATTGTGTAATGAATAGCAGTGCATCGCAGGATACTGGTATGTGCTATGTTGAGTAAAAATATTGTAACGCCTTAAGTTGTAACAACTCGTTAATATTCCAGAAGTAACCCTAATTGCAAAACAATATCGATGACCTCCAGCCTTATACTAGCTGCCTACAATTGCCTAAAAAACGTTTACTAGATAAAACAACCACCACCAATTAAATTGGCCAGATGCTTTGATCATTAACATGATTGGCCCTTATTCCCAGTGGCCCACAGTTGGCCACTTTCACCAGTTTGATTCGAAAACGTGCCCTTGACATGTCGTAAATTGAAGTGCCCATTGGGAACTTTCGCAGAGCAGTGCATCCCCCCTACCCCCCTCCCGTGTCGGAGAATTGGCCCTCGGAAGCAGATGTCGCAGAAATTCTTCTGAGATCCCTTCCCGTTGCATCTTTAAACCACGCGCTAAGGGGGGGCTGTGCATTCTCACATGGCACTGCGCTAAAAATGTCCATCGCGTATCAGTCAAACCAACAAAAAAACAATCGTCTAATTTGGAACTTTTGCCACATTCATTGAAAACCAAACTCAACGGGATGGTGTTGTAACATACATTTTTCTTAGCAGTTATTGGTGACTGCACTAAAACCGTCAATTAGCTAGACCTGAAAACCCGGTTTAATCACGAGTGACCAAAACCCAGACGCAGAACCGGGATCTCGGAGGTGATGGCCCAATGCTCTGCAGACAGTTGAGCCGCCCGGCCTCCCCTTGCTGCTCTTGAGCGGTCACCGCTACTGGCTGTCACTGCTGGTCAGCTGCACGTCCTGCGTCTCCGACCTCTCTGACACCACGCGGCCGTCTATGATCTCCTGCGTCACCACCTTCACCATCTTCTTGGTTATCTTGTTCGGTTTCTCTGCCAAGTACACACAGAGTTTGTTGAACGTTTCACTGTTCGTAGCGTGATTTGCGGTTCGGCTTCGTGATGACACGGAAAAGATTAAGTCAAAACTAGAATGCACTAGGGATAGGTTTGTGCTTAGAAGTGCGTATCGCTGCGGTATTAAGCAATAGGATTGCAGCTTAGCCGATTTTTTTAAGAAAATGTATTCTTATTTAAGCGTGTAACTACATATCGATTCGTAAATTTAAAACTGGGTGTAAAGCTCATGATACACGCATTCAAAGTGTGAATCGAATTTTGACCTCGTTTCTTGACAATTCACCAAATCGTGGGCAGGGGGCGAACCGTTGATTCACTACTCGACATGGGTAGGGGAGTGCAGGTGATGGATTTACCAGGCAATTGATAACACTGGAATCTGTATGCCTGTACGTATGATTAACTTCTTTTGCACCGTACGAAGTCGACTTGTGCTAAGCGGAGGGTCCGTGGTAACCTCGTCGCTTTTGAACTAAGCCTGGCACAGATGTGGTTGCGGTGTTATATCAGCCGGCGCTTGAGTGTTGAATCATGCGCGGTTGTGTGTGCGTTGTGCATGCGTGTGTCTTACCCTTTTCATCCTTTGTCACCCTGTAACGACACAACAGGGGCAGTGTTAGTGGCACTAGCGATTTGCCGTTTGTTGTAGCTTGGGATTTTTAAAGAAAAAAAGAGTTTGTGGTGCATCGCCCAATTTACTTTAAGAAGTCTCATTAAAATTGGCATCTGCGTTGTGTTTATTGACTGAACTAATACAATGGGTTGATTAACAAACACCAGGATTTTTTTTTGTTACTATTAACTGAGCGCAGAGGGAGAACTCGAGTATTTGGCTGACATCTCCAGGAATCTCTTCCTGGTGTTGTGAAGTGTGTGAGAGGTGGCGGCAGCTTAGGGGGGAGTCTTTCATCCAGCAGTGGATTCCTTCATCCAGCAGTGGATTGACTACGGCTGTTGGCGGCGATGATGATGATGAAGATGGTTGTGAAATATTCTTCCTCCTCAGATACGCGCTGGTGTTGGTGCACCTCTGGAGGTGGCAGCCCTAGAGCATTTGTGGTGCCCACATCACCAACGATGATGACGATGATTGTGAGATATTCTTCTTCCTGAGGTACGTGCCGGTGTTGGTGCACCTCCGGAGGTGGCAACCCTAGAGCGTTTGTCGTGCCCGCGTCACCGAACGCACCGGACGGTCGTCCGCTCCTCGTAGTGGCTGTGCTGGCCCTCCAGCAGGCGCCTGTAGGTCTCGATCTCCTCCTCGAGGCGCATCTTGGTGTTGAGCAGAGTCTCGTGCTCGCGCAGCTGCCGGTCGATGTCGCCGCGCGCCGAACCCAGCTCGGAGAGCAGGCGGGAGATCGATCCCGCCAGGCCTGCCAGGCCCTCTGCGCTGTGCGCCTCCACGTCCTGGGCTGCCTCGTTCAGCGATGACACCTGGTGCGAGTGGGGTGGCGGGGGGAAGGCGGTGGGCAGGGGAGAGGGTGAGCGCCAGGACTGGTGAAATGCATGAGTAAAAGAAATTGTTTTGGGAAATTGATTTTGATGACGAATTTGAATGGGAGATGGACTAATTACTTGGTCGACACGAATGTTCGTGCCTTTGAGATTCTGCTAATTGGCATTATCACCATTGCCCGTGATCTGTCCACTGCTGGATGAAGACCTCCCCAGTACCATATTTGGCACTGGATTTGTTTGTCGAGAGAACGAGAAAATAAGGAAAGCACAGAACGACACGGACAGACTTAGTAAGAGAGATGTAGGAATGATCCAAAGCGACGAGACCAAATCAAGACGGGAGACAGTGGAAGACGTGGAAGGAGTTCAGCCCTCCCGTCGCTGTTTATTGGATGGAATGTAAAATGATAAGGCGAATTTATTTTTACTGTTATTGACTGTCAACAACATGTTTGTTGTATGAAGTATACTTTATCATAGTCTCATTGTGGGTGGCAATGGATACAGCATTGCATCGCATGCTTTCATATGCAGTGCGCTTCTGCCGACGTCTGGAACGCTCTTCCTTCCGATATAAGGAACCAGTGGAGCTATGCTTGCTGTGTTTAATTTGTTGTCCTTCCCCCGCACCTCCGATTAGCATGGTTGGCTACATACGGTGCGAAAGAAGTTCAACATACCTAGGTACAGCATTCACACTGCTCCCCTCCTCAATACGCGTCTCCGCCCAACATGGGAAAGCTTACGATCAGCGCAGAGAAGTATGTGAGCCCTCCGAAGTGACGCTCTCAACCGCACACGCTAAATACACGTTTTTACTGAACGGAGGAGGAGGGTGTTTGTGGATGCTCACCGTGCTGCGCAGGGTTTCCGCCTCGGCGTACAGGGCCTGCATCGCGCGCCGCTGCTCCGACAGCTGCTGCCTGAGGGTGCCCAGCTCCTCCGAGTTCTGCGAGATGCGCGGATGAATCGCGTCGACCTGCGCGGGTGAGCGGGGAGGTAGAGCAGGGTCACCGCCTCTCATCCCCCCTGCTCCTCCCGCCGCCGTCTCCCCCGCTGTCACCGGCGACATTGTTTGAGAGTCGGGGGGGTTAAAGACGGAGGTGGCCGCGTGGCTCAGAAGTTGGGGGTGAAAGCGCCGAGCTGGTACCGATGGGAATCTGGGTTTAGAATCGAGGTCTCGGTTTGCCTGCCCACGTTTACACCTTCCCTCGCACCTCGAATTGGCACGGTTGGCTGCGTATTGTGCGAAAGAAGTTAAACCTACATACAAACCGGGTTCTCAAGTGTAGTGAGTTGAGTGTATCTGTGGGTCTGCAGTGTGAGTGTATGACTTGACGAATTGGGACTGCTGTGAAGTGGGATCCGGGTTGTCTACTGTAGGTCTCTGAGTCTGTGGATTTCTGTATGATTCTATCCGTCTCTTTGTTAATTTGTGGCTTTCTACACGAGTCTATGGGTCTCAATGTGAGGATATAGGTCTCTATGAGTCTTTTGGCCTCTATGCGAGTTTGTGGGTCTCAATACGAGTCTGCAAGTCTATACGGTGAAGTGCAACCCATCACTGACATCACAACACCGTACATGCTTTCATAGAACGGTACAAACGGAATCCATCTGGCGAACCAGATACTATCAAACGACTGAGGCATGTCCCAGCGGTAGTACCCTCGTCACTTGTTGCAGAGGATCACGGTTCAAGTACAGCGGCCACCCTGATTAATATTGCCACTGTACAAACATGAAGATACGCGCTGTCCGCTTCAAAGTGGACATTAAAGATTCCCCTGACGTTCGCAAAAGTAGGCTTTTTGAGTGCCGGTGTCATGGTGTAATTTTTTTGCCAAAACTGACATAATATAGTGATTTATTATTCATAGCCACCATCGCCCACAACTGAAACCTCAGCAGGATCCTCCTGCAAACGAGTCATGAGACTCGGTGAGGCTTTACTGGGTAAAAATGTGCTATGAGGAAGGGCCGCTGACCGAAACGTCGCCGTTTATAAACTCTTTCTTTTAAGGCGCAACTTTAATGTATGTATGTTGAACTTCTTTCACATCGTGCATAGCCAACCATGCAAATTCGAGGTGCGTGGGATGGACACCAAAACATGACGAATGTGTTGAGTTTGTTGTTTGTACTCGCGCACCACTGCCGATGCAGTGTCACCAAAACAGTTGTTACGACTCAAACAAACAAAATGGCTCCACAACCTCAATGCACACGGAGACTCGAACGTGTCCGTTCCTTGTCAAGCGCCAGAGGAAAGAAGGATGCGCCCGCGAGTACCTTGCTCTTGTACCAGACCTCCATCTCCTGCAGGTTACTCTTGATGAGTGCCTCGTACTGAGTCCTGATCTCGGCGATGATGTCGTTGAGGTTGTGCCCCTTGACGCTGTCCACCTCCACCGAGATGCTCGACTCTTCGATCTCCTTGAGCAGAGAACTCTTCTCCTGTGGACGTCACCGTCACAGCGAGTGCCGGATTATCCTCGTAGCAAAAGTAGAAAATGCTATGGGCCCCGCTCTAAATTCTTTCAAGCTATCAATTCCGGTTCAGTCATTCTGCACTTGCTTTATTACTATAGTACGATACGGCTTTCAACTTTTATGAACGACTGGGTGTTTAAGGTTAGTGATTTGTTGTATTATCTGGCTGTATAGCAAATGAAAAAATACAGTTACTTTACTGTGCAAGTACAAATTTTGAGTTTTAATATGTAAGTATATTTTTTATTTATTCAGGGCCCCTTTCTAACATATGCTACAGGCCCCACACGAGTTGAATCAGCATGAGCCCTTCCACCCTCCGCCACTAGGGGATGTAGTCACACTTTGGAAGTGGGCGTGAGTGGGGAGGGGATCATATTCGCAAAATGATTTTTTTTAATTGGTAGAGATTACAGATGCACATTGAACCATGCACAGTGCGAGAGAGTCGTGTGACATGCACGCCCATGACGCATTGGCACATCGTCGTAGTAATAATAATAATATGTATTTGTCCTGCGCAATATTTCAGAGACGGCGTCACGATGCCGAGTCCTGTGGCGGTGCTCGAACGTAGAGGCGCTGGTTGTGATCAGGTCATCCACTACCCTGAGTGTGGCTGTTTCTGTTAGAATGCTCTGAACGATGTGCGCAATGGAACGGTGCAAACATTTGCCCCGTTGAGATAAGATATTGCTCGGTAACTGGAGGGATCGTCACGATTAAGGTTAGGTTTTTAAAAAAAGCGTAACCAGACGTGTTTTAAGGTTGGATCATTTGCATGCAACGCGCGCACGTGCCCCCAGGCTGGGGAAGCGTTCCTGCACGCCGGCCGCACGAGTTCCACAGGTAACGCGTGCAATTATTAACGCGTGACCGGCTTACTTCATGCACGAATGGTCGAATACATGAAATAATTAATATAAGCAACAATGGATCCATAGATTAGAGGAAGAATGTGTCAATGTGTGAATGATTTAATACGTACCCGAACGGACGAATTAATGAATGCGAACAGGGACGCATGGAACGATGTGTGAGTGAATACAACACTACATAAATTAACGCATTGATATTATATTTTTAAGTTTACTAGGTTTGTTTTCTCTTTAATTTGTACCTGATGATGATTGCTTGTGTTGCAATCGAAACGTCGTGTGCTATTAATTAATACATTTTCTTTCTGCGTGACTTTACCGAAAGAACCAAAGAGTAATTCCTGCAGTCACGAAAGCTCCAAATCAAGTTTAAAACCACAACATGTCTGAATTAGTGCATTCAAATTGTGTGTGGGTGCCTCTTGGCGACATTCAACAATGTCGAGGTTTTTTTTTCTTTCGAGCCGTGCCACACAGTGACTGCGTCCAATGCCCTCCCCTTTCTGCCACGCTGCCAAACGCTCGGCAAACAACGACGGCGGTTTTAAAATAAAAAAATCAAAACAAATGGCTCGCGTAAACAACGCACCGGTAAATGGCTTTCGCTGCAAAAAATTAAATATTAAAATTATAATTTGCGCTCGTGTGTACAGCCCCGTGTACGTGCGTACATCTCATCGGCAAAGCGAGGAGAGCCCCCTAAAAAAAAACTCTTTAAAAAAAGTAAAGGGAGAAAGAAAAAGTCTTAAAAAATGGAAATTGGAAAAGTTTCGCTCATCCGTGCAAGTGAGGAGAAGTCAACCAGACTTTTGGCTGTGGCCTCTCAAAGAGGATTAACGCCTTCCAGGGTTTATGTCTGGTTGTATTTTTTTTTATTTGAACGTGAGCTCCTGTGACAGATGGGAGCCACGGACGTGTGAAATTTTGCAGCGGTGTCCATGATGGGGTTGCCCGAATGTCGTGCTGGGGGGAAAAAAAAAAAACCCAATCCTTTCTTTTCAGACGATTTTACTTTTGACCCAAGAAATACCAAAACAAAAACCGGTGCCGATGGCTCCGTCGACAGCAGTGCGGTACAATTCGACGAGGCGATGGACCCAAATTGTGGGCGTGCTCGATTGCTAAGCGTTGCGTTGCGTGCTTGCGGGTTTTTGTTTTTTGTTTAAAATAAATGAACTTCTTTCGCACCGGTACGTCACCAACCGTGCTAATCGGAGGTGCTGAAAGGTTTAAACATGGGCAGGAAGCCGAGACCCGGATTCGAACCCAAGATGCTCATGGTGGGAAGTAACGTGCAGACGCGCAACAGCGATGCACACGAGTCACTGTGCGTGTTGGATAACGAGTTGGTTGTTGGAGGCAGTACAGAAAGCAGGTTTACAACAAAAAATTGCATATCAAAACTACCGGGGTCAAAATAAAACACAAAGCCTTAAGAGACTGTCAGGCTTTCCTTTGTTGGGTCTGTTGCACCTTATAAAAAAACGTTAATAATACAATTAATTCGAAAACGTGTCGTGCTATTGCGATAAATGTCACCGTTATGTGTACAGGGTGGTCCATGTGTCTTGTGACCCCCCCCATTTTAATCTCTAAAACGTAATAATTTCCGTTAAGTAAGGTTTATTTAAAACAGAAATGTATGTGCAAAGGGACAAAAAAAAGACATGTTAGGAGTCAATTAATTTAGGGTCACAATCCATCTGGGACCACCATGTGCAACAACGACATTGTATGGAGAGCCGAGCTGGATTCTCCACCACGGCTAACATCAGCGCTGCGTGGTATCTGAAGCTGCCCTCAACCTCGCTGTCCCTTCCTTATTTAACAATCAGCGCTCGCCAGCGTGGTGACGTATGGTCGAACAGCCCCGTGAAGAACCTGGCCGGTGGGGAAGCTTCATGCAGCGATGGATAGACCACGTCTGATGATCCTGGCGACGTGTCTGCGTGTCGCCTTCTTTATGCGTATCGTAACTGTGTGACTGTGTTATTATTATTACTAGCCCGCGCAAGGACGGGTGTATTACAGTAAATCTGAAATATTAAATCGAACATAATGTTCCGTTCACGATTATTAATGGCAGCGTTACGGAGTTAGGGTCACATCAGGGTTCTCGCTTGTTATATATTAAGAATATTCAGCATAGCAAGGAAAGCCTCACTCAGTGTCTCGACTCCGTTATAATGAGGGTCCTGCCAAGTTTGTTTTCCCCAATAGGGGGCGACGATTGCTTTAGGTACGTGTATGTTCCAAAAGAGAAAACTGTACGCATGTTTCATGTGTACGTCACATGTCTGCATGTATTTGTATATACGTATGTATCGTGTATCTGTGCATGTGCATGTATCGTGTCTGTATGTATAATACACGTGTGTATACTGTTTCGTGTGTGTGGCTGGCTAACAGCACTTGCTCTGGCAGTCTATTGAAGGCTATACGGGGATCTTTGCATTTGTAATTGCTCACGTCCGCATGGCTCTTCTGCATGTGCAGGATCTGCTCCTCCAGCTGCTCCACCTGTCCCTCCAGGCTCATGCGCGTCACATTGGTCTCGTCGATGGCGCGTCGCAGGTTCGTGATGTCCGACTCCACCGAGGTGTGGATGGAAACCTCCGACTCCAACCTGTTGGAGGACGGGCGACAATGCCTCCACTCACCGCCAGCGACACTCGAAGCACCGACGCCTCCAGCACCGGCATCATCACCACTATCAGCGCCGTCACGAACAAAGATCGCCTGTATAGCCTGAACAAACCTTTGGGGAAAGTGCTGTTAGCGAGCACCTATGAAGCACTGCACGGTAGACGAGGGGGTGGCTGGCCAGCACCACGCCCGACCACCTTTGTCTCCCCAGTGGCGATGTTTACACACCGCACCAGGTACTCATTTGAGACTGAGTCGACCTCGGGGAGGCCTGCGACAGATTCAGATAATCGTCAATGGTGTTTGTGGCCGTGAGCGGGAATCGAACTCGGGTATCCGTGTTCGTAGGGCAGCGCGCTAACCACTGCGCCACCGCTCCCCATCACAAAGTCTATCACTATCACCAGCACAATCGCCACTCAACTTATCTCGACTACCAACACCGCGGTCACTCGCTATCTCAGTCACCGCCTCTAAACTGTCAATCATCACCACTTCAATCGCCAACTCCAGATGAGTCTGGATGTGAAACGTTGAAGCCACTGACACCGATCTGCGGTACTGTTACACGTGGGGGTTTTAGTCAGCAGAGGGCGCGCTCCTATCAGCTTTCAGAAATCGCCGCTCCCTACCAGAGTAAAACAACGTTCTGGATCTTTCTTGACAAGCGATGGGCAATAAATAACTACAGGATTTGAGGGTATAATTAAATTTAGACCCAGTGATTAAAGGTTTGCTGCTGCAAATAAAGATCTGTCGGGTTAACTTTCACAGAATCGGCACGGTTGGTACGCAAGGAAGAATCGCATCGCGGTGAATTTTGCGCGCACGTGAAATAAATCTCGACGTTAAACCTCAAGACACCGAGAAAGTCATTGCGATAAACGTTTCTGTTGTCAAGGAGACCCGCGCAGAAGGCAAAAACAAAGCGCCTCAAGACTTCGGAGTGATAAAACTCTTGTACGCACAGAACACAAGTTCCAAATTTAGAGAAACGTTCACAGAACGTATTGTGCTTGTTTTCTGGACAATGTTTGACAACACGCGGGGGCCTGTTGAACACGTGGAGGTGTTGTGACGACAGCGAGGAGGTTTGGAGTCACCATCCGTCCCCCTGTTGGAGTTGTCTCCCTCACCCGCCACCGCAGGATGAGCCAAAACACCGCTCCCTGGGTCCCTTCTCACCCGCACGCATCACTGGGACCACCACTCTCCCCAGTACTTCAATCAGAGTCTCCACTGGCTCCCACTCCAGACGGCCTTCTGTTGTTAACTAGACAATAGGCGGCTTTCTGCTGCCCAGAATTAACCTTTTGCTTGCATTGTTACTGTTTCTGAGAATTTGTTGAGGGCTAATTTACTCATTTGGAATTACACAGAGCCTCCTGAAAATGTAGAGACCCAGTACGTAATGCTTACCTGGGTAAAACTGGCGTCATAAGAATAATGGTATGTATGTGTGTTGAACTTCTTTTGCACTGTGCTTAGACAACCGTGGCTCAATCAGAGGTGCGGGGGAAGGACAACAAACTAAGCACAAAATTCAGTTCTCAAGAAATTAGTTTTCAATCTAGATTTAAAAGTGCATAGTTCCAGTGGCTTCATGAAATCGGAAGGAACAGCGTCCCAGACGACTGCAGAAGCTCATCTGAAAGCGCACGATGCAGTGACCGTCTTTGTTCGACGGTTGGTCAAAAGTCACTGCGAGGATGACTGGAGTTTGCGTGATCATTTATGCTCCTTGAGATCAGAAAAGGTGTTGTGGTTCATTTACGGAAAGCACTTTGTGTGGCGTAATGAGTGCCTATTACACATTGCATAATGCAATGATGCAATGTGCCCTCGCTAAAATGCCTAGCGACTGCCCCACCACTCATCTGCTCGCTGCGCAATGGAAAGGGGAAACCGGGGTTTTACTGACTTAGCTCGGAAATCCTCGGCAGCCAGGCGCCCATTGTCCAGCTCCACGTGCAGACGTGCGTTGGTCATCGTGGCTTTCAAAATCTGCGGCGACACGAGGGCAGAAGTTGGCCCTGAACGTAACCCGTGCCTGGTGGGTGGAAATGTGCTCCGGAGACTTATACGACGGCCGTGGAGATGGAGCGTTGGAATCGGCTCGCATTGCAGGAGATAGGTAATACTTTTCTATAGCGTCATTCATGCAATTGTGTCCCACAACACTGCACATCAATTAGCCAGTCCGTTACACAGATGATACAAAAACAACAGTTGGCTTGGAGAGGGCTTCATAAAGCAGTGGACAAATCATGGCTGGTGATTATGACGGTAGCGGCCATTTATCAACATCAGGGACGCTAAACTACGTTGGTGGTCCGGAGCCAATTGTGGAAATTTCACATTCCCAAGGTGGATGGTGGGCGGATATCGGCACACGACGAATTTGGTGGCATTGTGTTAAAGTGGTACTCATTTAATCGACCCCCTTGGGAGAGATGATAAGCCGAGACAACCAACCGACAGCAGCATTTGAGTTTACAGTCCCTCCCATTGTGAGTTGAGCTCTCAGGACACAACCCCAGTATAATGGCAAGAGGCGTCATTATGAAATGTGTATGAGCTGCAAGTCAGGAACACAATTTGAAAAATAAAAAAAACAATGGCCCGCAAGGGAAAACATAAAATTTTGGGAAAAAAAGCCCTTCTTTGTGGCAGAGAGATGGCATGACGAAGTGCTATTTCTCTGCATGTCACCTGTTGTCTCGTGTATATATATACACATAATTCCCTTTCAGAGCAGTGCTATTGACACGTGTTACGAGATATTTGTGCTCGTGCACCACCGCCAATGCAGCATCGCAAACAAACGTTTGTCGCACTCCCGGCCAAAAGGGAGGACGCTCGCGTGGCCGATGCCCCCAACGCGGGCTCGGCTACAACGCCACGCAAGAGCCCGGCCATTACGAGACAGCTCGCCGGTCGAATAACCTACCCCGAGCAGCCAGCTAGGCAGCGTCAGATTACACCGCAAACACACACGCGCGCGTGCACACGTGTCTTAGTCTAATGCATGCAAATAGAGGCTTACCGGCCACTGCAATATTCAAAGGCTGCCAGTTATAATGGTACCTTGTGAAAATTAGATATTGCCGAAAGAGTCACGTTACAAAAGCTGCCCGGATCTTGGCCCACGGTGAATTTGCACAACATTTAATTAGCATGTGTGTGAGGGCTTTGTGCTTAAGGTGATTTTGCCCGCACATGGCTCTTGCGTTTAGGCTGTGGTGGCATCAGCTGATTATATTTTTCATATTTGGAAATTATGTTGGGTTTGTCTTTACCCTCTTACGTAAGGGAATGAGACTCCCAAAACACCGTAGATAATCCGTGAAAATTAATAATGCAAATGTTCAAGAATGGAAAACAAAGCAGGCATGCATTTTCTCCTCCCCACCGCACCCCAATTGTACATTATATTCACCAATGTTTAATATTGCATCGTTTTTTTGATGCATTATTTAATATTTATGTTTAATTACAGATGTGTTTAGTTGATTTTTTTTCAGTGCGGCGTTGTTTTTGTTTGCATTTCAGAATTTGCTGTTTTGTTGAAGTTGTATTTAAAATCTAAAATCAGGTATCTTTAAAAAAAACCCACATACTTTCTATCACAACGGGGCCTTGCCTGGTTACAAGTGAAGACTATCAACCAAATGTTTAACAATCTTACAGCCCTTTGTCCATCCACTGCTGGATTAAAGCTCCCCTCCCAGCATGTGGGGGAGGGGGGGCATACTGTGCCTGTCACGAAGCTTGTTTGACCATACCTCCCTGTAACCGGTCCGTACTTGTTGGTGAATGAGGTGGTCAGTATCACGCGCCACTGACGACAAGTAAATACAGATTATTTTATTTTTAACACAGTTAATGAGCACACGCCTAAAGATCTGAAACATTAAGCGGCCCGCAAGGAAGCAGCACTCTGGAAGTTGTGATATATAACAGTGTGCAACACGGTTCTTGAATTGTGCAAGGTCCGAGGGGAATGTTAGCCAGGTAATATTAGCAGTGGAATTGAGCTCAGGTAAGCCAGGTGCGGCACGAGGTTTTTTGTTGTTGCAATGTGTTGATCCTTCATGTTTCTTTAATTTCCACCAAATACTTTGCATAGCCGCTTAACGTGTATGTTAAATGGGGCACGATATCTGTTTGCTCTGTTAAGCGTGGCAGTGAATGTCATGCGATAGCCGAGTTCACAAAACAATGTGCAAGTCACTGTGCCCACCGTTCCGCCCATCGTTTTGCCTCTCAGCTGGCCATGCGGTTCACATATCGTCTGTCCGTTGTGAATATAAATAATGAAAATACTATACTCTTTTGTTCTTTCCGTAAAGTCACGCACGTAGAAACATAATAGATCACGTGAGGTTTCGATCGCAACACAAGCAATCGTCATCAGGTGGGACAAACACAGCAAGAACAAACTGCTGAAGTCGAGTATGGATTCCTGCAGTCACGAAAGCTTCAAATCAAGAATGAAAATACTCATTTGTATTGGGAATTTCTGCGCGAAACCCGAGCGAGTAAAATTAATGGAACACGGGTTGGGGGTGTCACACTCCTCTCTCTCTCTCCCTCCTTTACCACTCACCTCCCAGCGAACGCTGAAAACCCCCTCCACACTTCTGCCGTGAATATCGACGGCCAATTATGCTCGCTTGAGACTCAATCGTACGCGTCCGTACAATTGTATTCTAACATTGCGAACAACTTTGTGCGCCGTATCCAGATCACGCGTGCCGGCTCCACTCCCGTGCATAGGTCGCACAGGGCACGAGGAGAGCAAGCGAAAGCGCAGCGCCACAAGTAGCTCAAGGGGCAATGATGAGTTCACTAAAATGTCACGCTCGCACTTAGAGCATTGTTATGTATGTGTACATAAAACAGAAGGCTGGTCCTCATGTCACAACTAAACATGAATTTGGGGTTGTAACGAATCTATTGCGTTTGTTATTTCGCGCGCCCATGAGATACGATTAAGCTGTGTAGCTCGTCGCATGGAAGTTGTACGACTCGCCCACAATACGAATCCTGTTTAGGGCCCTCAATGAACGGGCTGGCACCACCACCACTGCTGCCCATGACTTGACAACCGAAACCCGCGGCAAGTCATCCCCAAAAACCAATACACCACGCCGTCATACCGCACCACTACACCAGTCCGTCACACCAGTCCGTCACGCCACACCATCATACCACACCATCATACCACATTGTCACGCCACACCACCACGCCGCGCGGGCCACACAAACCCGTCCCCACCTGCTCCCGCAGCTCGCGCGCGGCCTCGTGGTACTGCCGCAGCTCCACGGCGCCCGAGGGTCGCTTCTCGACCAACTCCTTGATCTGCAGCTCCGTCCTGCGGTTGGCCTCGTCCAGGGATCGAACGCGCTCGATGTAGGTGGCGAGCCGCCCGTTGAGGCCCTGCATCTCCGCCTTCTCGTCCCCGTGGAGTCCCTTGAGGGTGGGCAGGGAGGACATGGAGGACGCGGAGGCGATGGTGGCCATCCTCCTGCTTGAGGCCATCCTGCTGGAGGAGGAGAAGGAGCGAGTGGTGGCCGTGCGTGGCGAGGAGCTGCCACTAGCGCTGTGAGAGGAGAACGACATCGGTGCCCGGTGAGATGCCCCTGCTGCTGTTGCTACTGGGGACAGGTGTGACGATGCTGCTGCTGCTACTGCTACAGGTGTGATGCTGCGGCCGCTGTAGCACAGGTGTGGTGACGACGCGAATGTTGTGTGTACAGGTGGGATGATGCGATACGGATGTGATGCTGCGGCCGCTGTAGAGGTGTGTACAGGTGTGATGATGCTACACAAGGTGTGATGCTGCTGTTGTACAGGTGCTCTTGCTGCCGTTCTAGAGGTGTGTGTGTGTGCAGGTGTGATGGTGAGGATGATGCTATACAGATGTGATCCTGTTCCTTCTGCCCCAGTTGTGTGCCGATGGACTGAGAAACAAGTCTCGGCTCGTTTGAACCGTGCGAGGGAGTGGACTTTCAAACGGTGACGGGCGCAGGGGTGCGACCGTAAAGATTATGATACAAGGCCACTATACAAGTGTCTTTATATGCGAGCGTGTGTGTGCGAAGTGTGTTTGTACAACCAGAGTGTTCAGAGTAGGTGCTGATTGGTCAAAGCTCACAATTGGCAGGCGATGGATTGGGCAAAGTCAAATGAATGCACAGAACTCAACGGGTTAAACTCCACCGTGAACCCGCACACACACACACACACGGGCATACACACCTGCCGATCCTGATAGGTAAAATATTAACGTGTGTAAACAAAGTGGGGAATTGCCTTTTGCTAATGTCAACCCTGGACGTGACTACAACGTTTACAAGGAGACGCAGGCAGTTGACACTGAATATACTCACACACAAAACAAATATCCAAAGTATAGCCTTCACAGACTTTTGGGGCAAGTGCTTTTAGCCAGTAGCACCTATGAAGGCCGGCACGGCACACGAGGGGGTGGGCGGCCAGCACCACGCCCGGCCGCATTTGTTTCCATAGTAGCGATGTTTACACACCGCACCAGGTACTAATTTGTGGCTGAGTCGACCAAGGGGGGGGGGGGGGGGGGCAGGACCGGTTCAGATAATCGTCGCTGGTGTTGGTGGACGTGAGCGAGAATCGAACTCGGTTCGCCGGGTTCGTAGCGCAGCGTGATCACCGCTACAGGCCAAGCAGGCAAAGGCGTTTGCTCCATCGCCTCTCGGGCGGGTATCATAAACCACATCTCTAGAACTGAGATTTGTTGTGTTTAATTGCGTTGTCCTCCCCCCGCACCCTCCGATTAGCTCGGTGGGCTACGTGCGGTGCGAAAGAAGTTCAACATACGTACGCGCATACAAATGGGCAACGCGTGGTCATCACTGAGGTCAGAGAAAACGGCGACTCGCCTTAACGCATGAATGATCATTCGCTAAATTCTACGTTTCATTTTATTTTGAAAAAAAAATACACCCACATTATGGTCACGTACACACTTCACGTGGGGGAGCGGCGGTAACAGTGGTTTCGTTCATTTAATTATGAAACCGGCGAACTGAGTTCCATTTCCCAGCCACGGCTAACATCAGTGGTCATGCGACAACTCAAACCACACTGTCGTCTGCGCTCCTTCAACGGAGGAGGATTCGCAAACTTCACGAACTCTGTCTTGAAGCCCTCTCGTGACAAGCAGATCTCGAGTTAATTATAATAATTCGACTTTGAGCACGCACATTATTCACTCACTGGCATTTATCTTCTGAGCTCATTGTCATACGCAACAATAGAACAGTGGCGAGTTATATCTTTAACTGGTTCTGGATGCCTCCACTTCACCCCCCCTCGCACTGACCAGTGTGACGAGATATGATACAACAGCACCCATGACTGTCACGGTGTGTGGGTGGAATTCATCATCAATCGTCATTACAAAGGGCTTTAAATTACGATTATTGTTGTTTTTTGGACTTTGAAATACCGTGCCTGCCCCGGCTTTAAATCTGATAATATGTGCGGCATTTAGTCTATTTACTATGTGGGCGGCTGGGTCTTATGGGGTCAGCGGGTTTGTCACTGTGTCATTTATTTGCAGTTCTATTCCCAGTCTAAGTCCCCCCCCCCAACCCAATTCCGCTTTGTTCCCCGGTGGACACCAAAAACGCCGCGAAGCTCCGTCGCTTGCCAGGAAGTGGACGTTAAAGGGACTCCGTGGCATAATTCGCAAGAGCAGACCCGTCGTGGGTGCCATTGCTGTGCTTCTAGAGTCGAAGCAGTGGCGACTCCATGCACGTCAGCCTGCAGCTGACACTGCTGTGCCTCGACACCAGACGTGCGGGGAGATGTTAACCACCTCGTTTGGTATGCAGGAGGTCGTGGGTTCGATCCTGACGCCTGCTGTGTATTTTGAGTTTGCGTGTCTCTCTCTCATCATCATCACGGTGGCTAGGAGATGTTAACCACCTCGTCTGGTATGCAGGAGGTCGTGGTTTCGATCCTGACGCCTGCTGTGTATGTTGAGTTTGCGTGTCTCTCTCTCCCCGTGGTCGCGTGGATTTTTTTGCGAGTCCTGTGGCATTTCCCTCCACATTTAGAAACGTGCGTTTAAAGTATTTGGCTGCTATACATTTCCACGTGATACATCACTTAATTGAGCTATCATTTGTGGCCAGGTTGCTTTTGAAATGAGCTACATATCTCAATAGGCCTTACCTGGTGAAATAAAAATAGTTTATAGTTTTTTTGTTTTGTTTTTATTTTATAGTTTAAACCTTCTTGCAGTGACAGAAATGACGGAGGCGTGTATGTTCATCATGTGTGTTCATCATGTGTGTTCATCATGTGGGGCCCGCCAACAGTTTTTTTTTCCAAACATTTCCGCGATGGACACAGTGCGGTGAAACTCTTTGGTTCTATTCGGTAAAGTCATGTAGGTAAAAAATAAAATAACAAAAATCACGACGTTTCGGCCACAACACAAGTGGCCTTCATCAGGTGAAGGGACCGTGCTGTCATGAGGACAGCGTTGGAGTGAAAACAGCCAAGCCCAGGTCGCGTCCTTCAAGCTGTGTGGGAGGAAGCAAAACGATTTGACAAAGGAATTAGCATAAAAATGAGCATGATGTACGTAGTAGGTGCATGGGCTATGATGGACCAGGAGCGGGGGGGGGGGGGGAGTAGAGTGAGTGAGTGGAGTGAGTGAGTGGAGTGAGTGGAGTGAGTGAGTGGAGTGAGTAGGTGGAGTGAGTGAGTGAGTGGAGTGACTGGAGTGAGCGGAGTGAGTGGAGTGAGTGGAGTGAGTGGAGTGAGTGGAGTGAGTGAGTGGAGTGAGTGAGTGGAGTGAGTGAGAGGAGAGGAATAAGCAGCAAGTTTGGGATACCACTACTTGAAAACATTTTACTGTACCATTGAAAATTAATTTAATGTTTGGTTTGATTTAGAACATCTTTCCAATGATTGCTTAATTTGAAACCATCCTCTCGGTTGAAATTGTGTCTGTGTTTGTAAATCTGAATTGCCTCGTGGACAAATCTCTGATAAAAACCCGTGGGTTTGCAGAGAACCTTGGTATCGGAGAAAACTATATCGTGATCACCCACAGCGTTGTAACAGTGGTCAACTACGGCAGAATAATTCGTTCTGCCGTGTTTCAAATCTGATTTGTGCTGGCGAATTCGGTCAGAGACATGTCGCTTCGTCTCCCCGATATAGCAATCACCACAAGTGCAGCTCAATTTGTAAACCCCGGGGTACTGTAAGTCAGGAACAACATCCTTCACGGATGGGATCAGGTCACGGATTTTGTGTACTGTATTGAATCGGACCAGGATCTTGTGTTTGTTTATAATTTTGGAGATCTTTTTAGTAACGCCTGCTATATATGGTAGTGTGATGGTTTTGACCGGAGTATCAAGTGGTTGTTTCTGTATGGAGGTAGAAACAGCTTGGCGGATGGTACGGTCAGAGTATCCGTTTCTCTTGAGGGCCAGGTGTACATTTTTGAATTCACTGGTCAGGTGGTGTTGGTCCGAAATGCAATGTGCCCTGTGGTATAACGTTTTGATGAGATAATTATTTTGAGCTGGGTGGTGGTGGGAATCAGGTTTCAAGTAGGAATCTGTGTGGGTGGGTTTCCTGTAGATAGAATGCCCCAGTGAGCCATCAGGTCTCCTCTCAAACAGAACATCCAAGAATGGTAGTTTGCCATCTTTCTCCACTTCCATGGTGAATTTGATGGCGCGATGTCTAGAATTGATGTGGTGTAGGAAAAGGTTCAAAGCTGGGAGGCCATGTGGCCAAATGATAAAAGTGTCATCCACATATCTCTTCCACAGGGAAGGTCTGAGGGTGGAAGTCTGCATGGCGTCTGATTCAAATTTCTCCATGAAAACATTGGCTATCACTGGTGATAAGGGAGAACCCATGGGGATATCCTCATTTTGTTTGTAGAAGGTGCCATTCCAAGAAAAGTAGGTATTGGTGAGGCAGTGTTTCATCAGCGCAGGTGTATCGGGGTCTAGTCCATGTTGTACCAAATTTTAAATTATTTCAATGGTATCAGGTACCGGGACCTTGGTGAACAGGGAGACCACATCGACGCTGACAAGGATATTGTCAGGGGACAGTACAACGTATTTTACCATAGAGACCAAATGAGCTGAGTTAAGTACTGCTGAGGAGGTCTTGCCAGTGAAAGGTAGCAAGGTATCTGACAGAAAACGTGCTAGCTTTTAGGTAGGGGAGTTGATCGTGGATACGATGGGTCGTAGTGGAGTGCCTTCTTTATGAATCTTGGGGAGACCATAGAATCTAGGGGGTCTTGCAGCAGAAGGTTTTAAGGAGGGACGTTTAGTTGGTTCAATTAGGGAGGTCGAACTTGTGATGATCTTGTTGGTTTTCATAGTTAGGCTATTAGTAGGGTCATTTTTAATTTTTGAGTAACTTCCATCGTTGAGTAGGTTCTGGATTTTGTTGTTGTACGAATCTTTATCCATAATTACAGTAGCGTTTCCTTTGTCGGCTGAGAGGATGACTATATCAATTCTGTTTTTTTAAAATCGCGAGTTCAGAGCGTTCATTTTTGCTGATGTTGCTAATGGGTTTCTTAGCATTCTTAAGAAACATGGCTATTTCAGCTCTCGCAACGTCTGCTTGGATGTGCCCTATGCCTTTAAGGGCCACATCGACCTGAGAGATGATATCTACAGGAATGTTTCGGGGTGGCAGCAAAATTTAGCCCTCTAGCCAGTACTGTTTTCAGATTGTCCGAAATCGGGGTGCTACTCTGATTAATGACGATTTTGTTAACGTCTAGTTTTGTTATATGTGGGACTGAGCTTTTCTTCGATAGGTAGTTGAATTTAGAAATCAGGTTAGCTTTGTATTTGACTGAAAGTGAATCGGCAGAAGAAGCAGTCATGTTGTCAACGTGGTTCCAATCAGAAGGTGACATTTTTTTGTGTTAGCGTTAAATGAGCTTGTAGGAGAGTCCTGTCTAAAGTATGGAGTTCAAAAGGGAGTAATCTTATCCTATCTGAGATTAAAGATAGGCTGGCCTTAAACTGAATCTGT